CTCTTTAACCACTTTGGCTCTCTGTCTTCCCCATCGCCCCAGTGGTTGTGATCTTTGTTAGATTTAAAACATCTACACGGGAGTGTGTTACTGTTTCACCAAGTGGTACACATGGCTAACGCACACACCGTTTAACGGGGGTTCATTGATTGTGCCAGGGAAGTGTCCCTAACATGACTGTAAAGAGTTGACCTGTGACGCTCCAGACATAATCTGAATGGACAACGGTACATCACTGACATTCCAGTCGAGGGTTGTTGTACCACGCTCTGATGACCATCCTCTGAACACAAGGGGATGTCGTTTTAATCGCAGTTGTCCTAGGTTTCACCATATATTAACATTGTGCTCGGCTATTGATAGTTATGTGATTTTTGTGAAGATTGTATGCCAGAATCTTGATAAACATGACCGCACTCATTAACATCATACGACCATAGTTATCAGCACTATAACATGAGACAATTTTTTCCCATGTTTGCTTCTCCGAATAAAGTATAGTTTTCGTTTTCGTTTTCTAAGTAATTTTCCAGGCACATGTATATAGGTAATCGATTCTTGACCAGACAATCCAGTAATCATCGATCTCCACAACTGGGATTATATGGCGTGCATCAAGTCAGCCAGCCTGACCACCAGATCTCGTTCGTCAACTCTTACAAGCATAGGTTGCTGAAGACGGATTCTAACAGGTTCGAGTAAATACAAAAGGGTGGAGACTAATGCCTAGTTTTCCAATGCTGCCCACACTTGTAATGGGTCTCTGTTCTTAGGTATGCTACTCCAAAATAAGACGTCGGGCACATTACGCATCAAGAAGTTGTCATTATCACCCATATTGACATGGGCGACGCCATGTTTGTAAACACTGACAATAGTTCCCACCTATTTTTATTGAATTTACTTGATGGGTGAACAGATGGTTGGACAGAAGATACCGCCCTTTAGATGAGTTCATGCAGAATTAATGTAGTTTAATCAATTCAAAAGAAAATATGTAAATATATATTGGCAGGTTATGTTTAAATGCCATGAGCTCAATAACTGTTACAAAAGAGAGTAGACTGACAAATATTTAAATTAGATTTATAATATTTGCTGAAAATAGAAGCTACGAGACCCTTCTAATGTAAAAAATAGTTTCTAGGACAGGATAGTGTCTATAAAGATAAGAATACTGAAAGGTTCTTAAAATTCAAGGCAGAATGCATGAGGGCGGCAGGTGAGAAAGAGATCTAAATGGCTCCTCAAATGACAGATAGCATCTTAGAAGTGAATTGATAAATATTTCTTTACATTGCATCATCAACTTCCCTGCTATTCGCAGGTAGAACCAGTTACCATAAATTCGTAATGTGTACATGAAAAGCAATCGTAAAAGTATAAACATCAAAGATCATACAACATATCAGTTATTGTATAGTAAATTTAAAAAATGACAATTTTGCTCAAATGTATAGTTGTCATAAAGATCAATTTCTATAAATAAAACCGGTAGCATTTTTTAGCCGTGAACTTAGTAACATGTTTTATAGTAGAAACATATGATATATTCAACACGCCAATTCAGTATAATAGAAACATATGATATATTCAACACACCAATTCAGTATAGTAGAAACATATGATATATTCAACACACCAATTCAGTATAGTAGAAACATATGATATATTCACCACACCAATTCAGTATAGTAGAAACATATGATATATTCAACACACCAATTCAGTATCCACAGTCTAAAAGTATATGTTTCATGGTAAACTGGGATTGACAGGGAATACACATCTCCATATTAATGGAAATAATAGGCTAAATGTGAATGTCTTACATGGCAATGTCTTAAAACAGCATCTTCTGGCACTGATATAGTCGTTTGTATAATGTAGTTTGTTGGTGGTTTGTTCATCTAAGGTCGATTGCCAGCAGTGATCAACATATTGCCTTATAACTGGCTTACAAACAAAAACAGGGATCTCAATGTATGTTGATGTTTGTTCATGAACGGTTTGGGCCGCTGGATCAGCTGTGGTGTTTCCTTTATGCCAACATGGCGTGGAAGCCAACAGAGGATAATATCATTGTCGGGCATTGTTAATTTCAGGTAAAGACTTAAAATCCCGGCTAGAAATGGGAAATATTCAGCAATGCTATAAAATAGCATCAGTATGTCGATGCGAAATTATATTTGTACATAACATGTGTCACTGTCAGAGTAATATTAAGTGGTTGAAGTATAGAAAAATAGACACTCACTAAACAATAATCTAAACTCAATACAATACAAAGCACTAAAAACAACTATACACACAGCAAGATTTTGTATAAAATTGCCACTACCCAGCAGTGAATGGGTACCTGGTGTGATGTCATGGTCAAATGACTTTGTTAACCTTCGACTCACAGACAGTTTAGGTTGTATTGCACACTGATTCATTGACCAAAGTAATAATGATAGCGCTTTCAACTTACACCCTGTGCATGGAAGTTGAGCACAACATGAAAATATACATCATCTCCACGAGCAATATGGCCAAATGTGAGTAATATATATATATATATATATATATATATATATATATATATAGAGAGAGAGAGAGAGAGAGTGTGTGTGTGTGTGTGTGTGTGTGTGTGTGTGAATATCTACCGTTTCCTGAATGTTTGGCTAGTAAAAATATGTAATTTCAAGACTGACAACTAAGTACTGTCAAGTAAGGGGGATTACAATGAGACCTTGTTGTTGCAGACCCCAAAAAGTCATGTGAACAAGATCGTCTCCGTACATTAATTGCGCGACACAATTTCCTCAAATATGCTATCAACAGTGTCTTTGTTCACAGGGAAACATTTTTCTACTATTCAAACCCATTACCACTATACAATACATATATTTGTTCACAGGGAAACGTTTTTCTATTATTCAAACCCATTACCACTATACAATACATATTTGTTCACAGGGATAGACATATAAAGAACATTTCAAGAGCTGTATGAAACTTATATATTCCTTTTTGGAATTAAGACAAACTAGTTGCCTCAGTGCAGTGGATCTAAGAATTTTCTAACGATCTTTGCAAATATCTCAGTATTTACACAACGCTATGCTCTTGGTCACAGACATAGACAAATGAATTGGAATTCCAAACAAGTTTGTGTTTCAAAATGTATTCGATCAAATTATTGTATAAACCATGATAATCTCTCCCTCTCACTTGACTCAACTTAAGACACCTTGTAAGGTGTTTAGATAACTCTTGACCACTCTTCAGGTGACCCTCTGACGAGTAGGAGAGCCACATGCTTTTGTAATAATTTGAATTTGCTTGTAGCCTTTATCATAGATAGCTTTTCAACATTCCGTGCCAACTTTGTTCTATAAAATAGCGGTTTGGAAGCAAACAACATAACTACTAAATCCAACTAACTTCAAGAAAATATCATAGATAGCTTTTCAACAATACTGAATTTTAAATTCTTAATCAGGTAGTTTCAGCAGTGACGACTGGGAGGCAAAAGAACATTGTCAATATGCAAAGATTAAAGTAGAAAATATCCTAAAGGAAATAAAATGTGCAACTATTAGCTACAAATGCCAAATGTGATTTCAACATATGAACATATTTCTCAAACATTCTCTTTACTCACCATGTTGAGTAGCAGAATTTCTGCTTTGAGCACATCAAAGCTATTTCTAAATTAACACTCAACATAATCCGCTATCGAAACACTGGGTTTTCCGGTTCAGCACTTCATTGTCCAAGGTTTATGTTCACAGACAGCCGTAAAAGAACAGCTTTTTTATGCAAATTGTGGGAGTGGTAGATGTTATCAGTAGGGCAGAACATGCATCCCCATTTCGCGAATAATGATTTCCAGTAATGTTTTCATATCACTCCCTTTCCTTTTACCCAGTGGAGTCTGTTTCAGCTGATAATCGAGACATCATTTTCCTGTTGTGATTTTATATATACGTTTCAAAAGTTGTAGGAAATCAAGAAATATTAATGTTCTACCAATTTTTAGAACAAAGATAAGTAATGCCAACACACATCCTATATCTGCAAGACTTAATGCCAAAACACAGCTTAACAGCCACAATGGCCGAAACGGTTCTATGTGTCTGTGATCAGCAAACTATTGAACAGGTGCCAACAAGCTCATAAATCCATGCCATTCAGTACGGCTGGGACGAGTAGCCCGCATACCCGGGACGGGTGGATAATGAGTTGGGCCCAGGTACAGGTCTCAATACCCGGACCCGTTACGACCATGTGACTAATAGATTAAACAATGTTATTTTTTTCATGATTAAAGGTGTACCATTGAAGATTTAGACTAATACAGTCACATGTTTTGAAAATAATACATGGTTAATATATTGAAAAAACCGCGAATGTTTAGCCTCCGAGCTCCTTTCTTACAAAATTTGATGCCAGGTATTAACATACCGGGTATCAGGGTAGGGGGTAAATAGGGGGTGGAGTACCCTGGAAGAAAATGTGGACCCGTCCAAGCCCTGCACCATTCATCTCTGGTCAATGCCATGAGGGATCAACTGATCTGAAATCTCTCCGAAATCCATCTGGAACAGCAAATGGAACTGCTGCAAAAGCTTTCATCATGCTACTGGAGCATGATTTACCAGTTAGACAATTAGAAACTGTCTGTTTTGCAGATCGTTACCCCACAACTGTGGCACCCCATACATATTGCAAACAGCGGGTAAGGTAAAAATTAAGTTTAAGGTCGTGCTTGAGAATATTTCGCTCATACGACGACGTGCATGCGTGTGTGTATGTGTATGTGCGGCTGCTTGTACTAGCCCAGACTTAAGCTGGTTTTAGTGCTACCTCACTGAGATGCCATGCCGCAGTGAAGCATGAATACCCCACTCAGACACATTATACTGACTCCGAGCCGACCAGTCCCTGTTGTACCCATTAATGCCGAGCGCTAGGCAGGGACCAACAAATACCATATTTTAACGTCTTTTTGGTACGACGCGGCCGGGGATCGAGCCCGCGACCTTCCGCTCTCGGACGGAGGCTCTAACCACTACACCACGGAGGCGGTCAAACAGGCCGTCAACGGTGTAAACAATGTTGCAACTGGGGTCGTTATTGCTCCTCAAATTTCATTTTTTCAGATAAATTCCGATTCACTTTGTACTTACAATATAGTTGTAGTAGTGTTTGGCAACTACAACATGAATGTCAAGCAAATGTCTACCTTTGACGTCACGATAAATTCGATAGCAGATCAACTATGGTTGGGTGGTATCACTATGGGCATGTTGTTCGTGGAAAGGTTACATCCAAACAACTTCCTGACAACCTGTGTAGTCCTTTTTGAAGGACACGGGAGTAGAAATTTTGTATTTCAGGACAACGCCTGTGTTCACCAAGCACAAATCATCAGTGCTCCTGGGTATCGTTTCACCAAAGCCAAAGTGGGCGTAGCACTGAGACTGTGGTAAATCCATGTGACATTATAGAAGATGCAATAGTCGTAGCCTGACGACAACTTTGCGAAATTGACCCAAGGACCATAGCCAATGCATGGGCAGTCTGGACCTTTTCCCCACTTGAACATGTTTAGGGCATAAAGCGACATTGGCTGAACTTGGTCGAGTGCTGCAAGAGGAGCAAGATAGAGTGCCCGTAATAGCCTATGGGATACTCACTTGCAATATGTCTCATTGACAGATTAATCTTTGGCAAATCGTTGCAATATTGTGCATTTTCGATCTAAAACATCAACTGTGAAATTTCGACTTTTACCCCTACCAACCTTCAAGATCATAGGCGGTCATAACATCTATCCGCATACCACTTGTCATTTGTTCCCAGTTAGTTATCCCATTATTACAACACAACTATTACTGAAGTGTAATTAAATTTTTGAAAAATTGCAAGTCATTTTCTAGTATCCACTTAGACCTAAATATATCAGACTGGAAGCAATTCTGCTCTTCAACTAAGTGGCTTAAACGGTTTCATATTTGATACTCTCATCAATGGAATCTGCAGTCAAAGCCAGACCACAATCACGTAGTGCTTTTTTCAGGCTGACAATCGTTGCATTTCTAGAATTTCGTTTTTTCCACAGTATGAGTGCATGCCATGCTTGCTCACGTAGTTCACGGCTGTGTCTGTATTCTACATCATCAATGTCGCTGCTTTGCAGTCCAAGCGCAAGGGCAACTTGTTTCCAGTCATTGCCAAGTTCTTTTGCAACTGCAAGTAGTACGGAGTTCTGAATTGCTGCAAAAAGAAAACACCTTTTTTTACCATCAATTATTGAAACACTACTTTATCAGGGGAACATCAATCAAAAACATCTTCTTCTATTTAGGATTTGGGACAATGTGGACACAACCTTGGTGAAGTTAATACATTTCTGTATGAATTTCAACTAAGACTTGCAGATAACCTTTTGCAGGGCTGTCACAAATCAAAAGCTCAATGCAGTTAGTTTAAATAATATACAGTTGAACTTCCCTTATCCAGGGGACACTTGAGTTTTCTCAAATATTGTCGGAATAAATGTATTTCTGGAGATCTTAATCCCTTGTCAGCAATGTCACTACCAACCTCTAAAAATGGTGAGTTTGTGAAAATTATAGACAAAAATAAATTACAATCATCAGTACAGACATATAATGAATATTATTTTATAATCAGTATGTGCAATAACAGGTTGAACTGAATCCACTGATCACATGATACCAGCTCCTTTGATGTTGGATGCCAGGTGTTGAATTGCAAAACAAACACCATCAATCATGGTGACAGGTAAGCAGGGTACTGAAGTCGGATAACATTTCTACCCTATTCCCCAGTAATAGGAGACTTACAGACTTGAACTTACCTTCAACAGGACTCTGTAGACTTGGCGACCTGTGAATCGCATGTTCCGGGGAAGTAGACACTACTTTCTCTGGAGACATGACACTCGGAGTAAGAGCAATGTGTGGAAATACTTCATCAGCATTAGACTTGCAAACATCTAATGTTGACTCTTCTCGTAAAATGTAGCGTCCACCGTTCTCGCTCAGCTCTTTACGGTACATGTATTTCTTGCATTCTGTATCTAATCGAAGTGCTTTAGGATGTGGACGATGACCAGTTAAGTCTGGATGTGCATGTGGAAGACCTTGTGGGTGTTTCCTTTTTCTCTGAACAGTACATGAGCTCAAATTTTGTGCAAGAGGATCAGATCTTGCTGTTAATGATCTAGAACCATGCTGATGGATTACTTCACTTTGGTGAATGGGCTTGGGTTTACAAGGATGGATTTCTTTACACCTCCGTAACATGATGCCCCGTCGATAATCTTCATTTTGGGCAACGCTCTTCGTGGCATGTTTCTCGAATCTGTCAGAATGGACGGACTCTGGAGCTAAATGTATAAGAAACACATGTATATTACTGATAATCAGTTCTGTTATCAGTTCTTCCTGCATTCCTGCTGAGAATCTGAGGTCAGTGAACCATATCATGAACCCCACAGGAATAATTACAAGAGTCATTCAACAATCTAACCTGCACTGTATAGATATACATACCATGTAATTACACTTTTGACGTTTTTTGAAAATCTAATAAACAATCTCAGATTAGTGTCATAGAATCACAGACTCTATATGTACACACACACACACACACACACACACACACACACACACACACACACACACACACACACACACACACACACACACACACACACACACACACACACACACACACACATTGCAAGAGCAACATAAACAAGAAGACAAAGTCATCAATATCCCCTGCAACAGTGCCAACTTTGACATAGCAATACCATATTAATAAGGAAATTACAACAGCTGATGCCACAGGTCAATGTCATTCTTAGTTATGCTTCTGAAATGTTGACAGACACGTGTTTAACCCACAAAAGGCATGCATGTCAAGTTTGGTGAAGCTATCATGGAGAGTTTGGGACATTTTCTCCAGACAAAATGACTTCTTCATAGAGTCACAGTTCAAGTCACGTTTCCATGGAAACCACAAAAAGCAAAATTCATACACTGGCGTAACCCCCAAATGGCACATCAATGGATCATTGTGAACATGTGTACCAAGTGTGATACAGCTAGTATGTATACTTAGGAGATCTGCTCCGGACAAGATGACATCCTCATAGTCACTGCCTAAGTCATGTTTCCATGGAAACAGTAAAAAATATAATTCATACATGGGTCTAACCGCCAAAAGGCACATCTAGGCATCACGGTTGAAATGTGTACCAAGTTTGGTTAAGATATCACGAATAGTTTCGGATATATGCTTCGGACAAAGTGTGACGGACGCACGGATGGACGGAACTCGTTTCTATATCCCCCGCAACTTCGTTGTTGCGGGGGATAATAATAAGAAATATACAGACCATAAAACAAAATTCCTGCTGCTTCTTTGGCAAATGCTATTTGGAATGTGCCATCTTCCTGCGACATATACACTTTAAGTATTCTTTCATTTGCTGACTGATCTTGCGTGGCAAGTCTTGGGATCAGTACAGTGCTTCCAGATACAAGTCCACAGTGTTCTAAAGTGTCATCATCTGGAAGACATCTACCTCTGTGAATCATGTTTAGCAAGACATAACTGCATCCCAAGGTATGTGCAAGGTATTCCTTTAGTCTCCCAATGGTATATTGTAATCCATCAATAATGAGATGAAGACGTTCCCTCCCAGGCTGCCGCACCACGATAAAGTCTGGCATTGAAAAGACACATGCAGAAATGATGTCATCTTCCCTTATACGGTAATCTTGCATCAACCTTTCATTTTCAAGTTCATTTTGATTGAAAAACAACTGTAACTGTGAGACTGTTGCATATGCATGTTCTTGTAGTATCTCCTTTAGTCGCAGTACAGAGTCAAGCTTGAACAGTTGAAGAGCAATTTTCTGTGTTGATCCATCAGTTTGCAATGAGACCAAGACCTGCATTTTCTTTGCAACCTTAACCAACACTACACCCTTAGGGTGGATACCAGCAGATTTCGATAACACCATTTCTTTCAGTTTCTTGTTCTTTGTGTACAGATGCAGGGCATTAGGTGGCTGTTTGATCAAATCAGAAACTTCTTCTCGGAGTTCAGCTGTCGTGACGGGAGCTGAGATCAGCATGATCTGAGATGAATGTTCTTGGGATATCATTTTCAAAGTAAGTGGAAATGAACTTGCTTGTTTAACATGCACAACTAGCCGTCCCTTCAGTGACAATGGCCTTCTTCTCTGAAGAGTAAGGGAGAAATACTCTTTGTCTTTCAAAAGTTGGTTTCCAACAGAAAACCACACATCATCAATGCCAGAAGCAAGGCCTGGAAACTCTCTGCAGAAAGATTTTTTGAATGCTTGTTTCATCTCCCCAACGTTATCTGTGCTGAAACATGCAAACTCATACTTGTGTTCCACATTTGGCCTTGGCACATAGAAACATTGTATCATCACATCTGATTTGGCATAACATGCAACAACATCTCCATTTGTAAAGAGTGAACCGGCCATCGATGAATCCTCATCACACCGTTTTCCTTTAAGAAACAGACATGGGAATTTGTCTTTATTAAACAGTTTATCATCACGTATGACTGTTTTCAGTGTACCGATGGATGTGTCAGGAGCAAGACCAATACATCCTCTTGCTAGTGAAACTTCAGTATAATGAGGACCTGGAGTAAATGGAGATGATGAAGCCTCTTTCTGATTTAATTGGAAATTTATAAAAAGTATCAGCAAGTCTGCGTTGTCATGGAGAACTGCAGAATCCTTCTGGGGGTTAAAATAGACATATTCTTCATTCAGGCCATGATGTGCAGCCATATCTTTTTTGTTTCTGCCACGAAAGCCAGTGATTTTGCCTCGAACAATTGCATTCTTTCCTCTGATGTCATAAACACGAATTTTATATGGTTTGAACAAAGAATGACCTCGTTTTTTATTAGAAGAGACCGTCCAGATTCTTTGTACCCCTAGGAAAAACAAAAGGAATTTTAATTCAACAAGACGATAGCTGGAAGATAGTAACTGAACAAAGGTCTCTCTTAATGCAAACAGTTTTTACACTTTGCACTTAGATATTAGAAGAGACAACTGCATCCAATCAAAGATAGATTCGAAATAAATACCTTCAAGTACAAAAGAATGACTTGGAAGCTTTGAGAATATGACATTAATTTATTTTCTTTTACAAACTCTAATGGTAAAATCCAAAATTGTTTTTTAATCTAGCTTTGTCACTACTAAGGCGCCAACAGTACCTTATCGGGCGACAAAGTCCAGTATTTGCATTACATCACACTGAGATGACATCGCTACGCCATACTTTAAAAGATTTAAGTCTGCCCCTTCGTGATCAAACATACTCTTGGCAGTGGAACCTCGTCCCAGACCAATTAGTGTCGGTTGTCATCGTCGGCTTACATCAATGTCGGAAACATTACGTTTGACTTTTCTTATGGACAAATGTATCGGCTTGACTCACAATTAAACAGTGACACTGCAATGTTCGCTAACTGGGCTTATGTTAACAGTCTCTCAAGGCGTCCGTATCCGTGAAATGAGACATGATTAGTCAGTTAGCACTAGACGTACTGTTGGTAACCAACGTCACAATGCATGTCTGCTGCCATTGCCTAGTAGAGTCTCCTACAGTAAAACTAACTCAGTAGCATCCCGTTGCTTCACTCTGGTTTGCAGTAATATCACCGCAGTGACACGGCAACTAAACCCACAATGCTTCCATGGAATGTCGTATGAGTAGTATGCATTAATGTATTAACCTTTATTGGAAGTAAAACGTACAACGTTCATATTGTGACATGTGGTTTACAATAATCACATTTATTTGAAATAATAAAGAGAAGATGTTTAACCTGAACATAATTCATCTTGAAACTTTTTATCATTTGTTTTATTGTCCATAAGTAATAAATTTGTCATTTTAGCGAGAAATATGGTTCCCTTAGTCTGTCATACAGACCCTGAAACAAATATATCCCAGAAAGCCCATGCAAGTCTAAATATGTGGCAAGTCTAGATTTACACAGTTTCATTTCTGAAAATGAAGAAAGTGTCAGGGCTCCTTTTCATCATATTTGTTTTTATTATGAACTGTTTTTCTGTAAAATATGTTCATTTCAGAGACTAGTTGTTAGTATACAGTTCCCTCTATTCCCATGTAAAAAGTACACATTTGTTATTTACGCTTGAAACAATTGGGAAATATATCGTGCAAATTTTACGTCATGCGATTACTGTACAGACAACGATCATAAGGAAGTGCAAGTGGTGATGTACTCTCAAGACAGTCATAATATAATCATATCAGTATTGATCGTCTCCGATATATCTCCCAATTTTTTTAATCGTAAATTAAAAATGAAGTTCCCCTCATTTCTTTGAAGAGCATACATACCCCTGATATTATATATGATACATGACTTTCAAAAGGATGTAAATGTTTGAAAAGTTACAAATTTAGAATGCTTCCGTAGGCATTTCCCTGACTATTTTGTATGTGTTCATTATGCGTCTCTCATCTCTCTCTCTCTCTCTCTCTCTCTCTCTCTCTCTCTCTCTCTCTCTCTCTCTCTCTCTCTCTCTCTCTCTCTCTCTCTCTCTCTCTCTCTCTCTCTCTCTCTCTCTCTCTCTCTCTCTCTCTCTCACACACACACACACATCCAGCGTGTATAGCCACACATGTGAAGGAATTACCTCTTATCAGAACATGACGAGTACTGGCTATGTCGTCATCGTCACTATCCACGTTGTCAGTTCCAGGTCCACACTCTAAAGCCATTTTCTGCAAGAAAATATGTATTTCGTATTTGATGGTTTACACAAAAGCATGGATGAATGGTGACTTTTAAAATCAAGCATGGTACACCAGGGCTTCGTCAAAAAGACATGAGTCTATCTTATTTTTGTAGGTTTTCTGGTGGTGAGGATGTGACTAACTAGATGTAACACTGGGATACACTGACGTAATCAGATTTCTTAGACAGCTTCTAAGAACATTTGCTTCACAATTTCACGCTTGAGGATTCCAATAAAAATATAGGTGCCCAGTTTATGGATCTTTCCTCATGTTATCACTGGATTGTCTGGTCAAGACACCATTATTTTACAGACTAGTGAGTGCAGCATTAAACAACAAGCAAAATCCTTCACTTCTTCAACATTACCATATCATTTAGGGTATATTTATTTGAGCATACAGGGGGGCGGTGGGGTAGCCTGGTGGTAAAGCATCCGCTCGTCACGCCGAAGACCCGGGTACGAATCCCCAAATTGGTACAATGTGTGAAGCCCATTTCTGGGGTCCCCCGCCGTGATATTGCTGGAATATTGCTAAAAGCGGCGTAAAACCAAACTCACTCACTATTTGAGAATACACAGAAATTATTTACACAGTAGCAAGTGATCATATAGATACTTGCACAGGATAATATATTCTGGATTTACAGTTAACTTAAAGGTACACTGTATAAGTAAACTAACTATATAAGTCAGCAAGTGATTGCGTATATTCGTGCACTTCTGGTTTACATCTAATTAAATATACTCTATATACCAGCGCACACATTACGAGGTCGGGCATATCTGACACACTGAATAGGCTTAGTCAAACGTAGATGGCTTAAGACAAACACTCATAGAACATATACTTGTTACTTCTGTGCTCTCCTTTATATACTACAAACAAAAAGTATGGGAAATTCAACGTGGTGAGGTTATTTATATTCTAATGTCAATGCAACTTTTTGTGTGCTGAACGGGCACTATAAACGACATTGTCAAAAACAGGGGTGCTGAAACACACCAGTACCATGTTTGATTCAAACGCCGTTGATGTTTTCCAGGTGAGGTCTGTCCTGTAATCAACCAGTGGCCTAGAACCTGTCTCTTGGTCTGTAAATGACAGAGGGAGACACCTGAAGACGGAGAGCAGCACTTCATATGGATTCACCATCCTGTAACCATGCAATGGTCCTGCTTCTGTCGTGGGCACTTAAGTTGTGATGCATCAATACTGTCTGCAGCTTCTGCTAAAGGAACGTTGCCACAAGCTGCATGGGAAGTATGTCTTCCACATGCACTAGGCTATGTTTGGGCGTTTGAATCAAACATGGTGCTGGTGTGTTTCAGCACCCCTGTTTTCCAGCTGTTTTTGACAAAGTTTCATTTCACTCAAACGCAACGAATACTGAATCAATTGCTTCACTGCATGTTCCAACATGTCGTTTAAAGTGCTCATTAAACACACTTAAAGTTGCATTGACCCTAGAGTATAAATGACGTCACCACGTTTAAGTGTATATAAGACTATCAAATTTTAGGATGTTCCTATACGTTTTGTTTATAGTATATAATTATGATACTGTGAAACCTAAACAATAAACTGTATCACCACACTGATGATGATCAATACTTGTCAATGAAAACTGTTCATCAAATGTTGTTTAATACTTGTCAAACTGAATGAACACAATGTTATGATAGGTAGGGCTGGATCGATAATCGGAAATATCGTCAAAAGGAAATGAAAATAGAGTTATCAATAATATCATACATGAACTTTAGTGAGAAAATAAAGTTTTAATTTACTCACACAATACACAAAGCTAGGTTTTTATTCATGGGTTACTTCTAAATTATGTTCAGGACACATTTTGTTAGCAATTCACTCATAAACATGTGAGTAGTGTGAGATATATTCATTTCTTTCAGACATTTTTGCTCAAAGTTACTTCTCCGATATTTATCGATAATCGATCAATATTTAGTTAACGAAAATCGATCTCTATGATATAAATCGATGGTCAGTCCTAATAAAAGGCCTGATGCATGCACATCCGTATCTGATCATAGTATAATCATAGATGATTACTTACAAAAGGCAGTGAGGTGTTATATTACTGAACTTAACAATATAAAACTCTGAAGGAGAAATAAATCAGAATTTTCATGGTTTGGCCCATAGGCCCCAACTGCGGGTCAGAAAATCGATTAACTTAACCCCGGTTTACTGGGGGGCTGGGTTAAGTTAATCGATTTTCTTACCCGCAGTGGGGGCCTATGGTTTGGCCATGTCACGGACGATAAAGGTCGCATTGAAAAACTGCTGTCAGAGTTTAAAACATTTATAAGGACCATGATATTTATCTTTAAATCACCTACTGACCAAAGATTCCTTCAACAGTTGCTAGTTATGAGAATATATTATGATAACAACATATTGTTAGATTGACAATATCATTGTGACACGTAAAGGTTTAACGTGTAAACACTCCAAACAGCTCATATTTATACTTCATAATCATTACACGTAATAAGATTATTCTCTGTATATTATGACGTTATAACATCAGTGGAAGGTTTTACGGAATGAAGAAAACAATGTCTACTAACCAATAAACTTGAAAAGAGCGATTGCTTGAAAAGATGATTCTGGCACGCCACCACACAAAATGACTGTATTACCCAAATTTACTAACGTCAGGAAATACTCGTTTCATCCGGCGGCCATATGAACAACGTTTGAAATCTACGTATCATCTGGCCGTCAGATTTACACACGTTTAAAGGGGTGTTAAAATAAACCAACATTCAACTCTGCATTTACATGTATTTCACAGGTGTGTAAATCTGGCCATTGTTTTCATGTGTTTCCTAACATGTGTAACATATGTAAATGCTGTGATTGTAGGACATGCATTTCAATACCATTGAAATCTCGTATGACCAGGGTTAGATTTGTCATATATTTAGTACATGCGTAAATGGTTGGAAATGGGTAAATATAGTGTTACATGATTAGCACTACTTTAACGTGTATTTCAATGGTTCTGTAATGTAACTGTCACAAAGGGTTCGTTAGCGCGTCCGAGCACGCCATAATGTACTGAGATAATTAGAAACACATGGTGAAGTGATACCCATGACTGAGCACCACTAATAACGTGCGTGTCTTTCTTGACATACACATGGTGTCTGTTTAAAAGGTTCAAATATCGGGTCTATGGGCCAGAGCGATATGTATGTTAGGGAGTGTGTGTGTGTGTGTGCGTGTGTGCGTGCGTGAGGGTGTGGCATGGGGTAGGCCTAGGGTGGGGTGGTGGCGGTGGGTCGGTGTTGGGGTACTGATAAGTCTTTCTGACCAGTAGGTAATATCGTTTATACTTTTTGTAATGGAAATTACATAACAGTTTATATAACTGACCTTAGGTACACTTCTTATATATGCTATACAAGGAGACACTGCTAATTACAATAAAACACAGACAGATGTGTTCACACAGCCATGAACCGGTAGGTCCCTAATTTTAGTGCTCACTTGATATGATCATAACTGAACAAATTTCTTTATCTATACTTTCATAAAAGATGATTACAATGTATTAATGATTCCCGGTGTAAATTACTGTTGTAAATGTGTGAACATGCACATACTTGGTATGACCTCTTTTTTGATTCGGAATACAGGTATTATCCCATACGGACGTTTTCTCAAATTTCAGTTACCCGACGGAATATACTGTAGACATATTTTGTTTCCATCTCTTGGGTAGACTATAGAAAATTGCAGTGATTGCAATTAGCTCATAATTTTCATAATAGACCTATTTTGTTTCCATCTCTTGGGTAGACTATAGAAAATTGTAGTGATTGCAATTAGCTCATAACTAAGCACTTTCGATAATTATTGAAATCTTACAACCTGCCAGCATTTATGTTGCTCATGCGTTTTCTTTTTTGCTTTGCTTTTTGCTGTCTAATTTGTTATACATTATGTAATTATGTTAATCATTATGGTATCTCAATATCATGGAATATAATGTGTACTTATTATTCTACCGAAACGTATTATCTGTATGCTTTACTGTTACTGGGTGAAACTGTTAAAAGTACCTTCGTACAGAATTTCCAGGAAATAGAAACTGTAAATTACTAGATAAATGGAAAACTAAATTGGATAAAGATCGCAAACAATCATTATTTATATTCCTCTTTTTAAATTATCAGTGTGCAGATCATGTCACTAACATAAAAACGGAAAGATATATGGTGACAAAACTGGGTTCAATCTTGAATGTATAATAAATGTACCAATGTATATTCTTTAACAGTATCAAGGAATGATGGGGTACGCTCGTGGTTAAAGCGTTCGCCTGTCAGGTCAAAAACCGGTGTTTGATTCCCGACATAGGCACATTAAGACTGAAAATATATTATTTTGATATAAGGCAAAGATCTTAATTTCAATTGAAAAAAAGAGACGAAGTAATTTGGAAGATTCACAGACTAACAACATCTATATTGGGGCTACAGGTGCAGGAAGCATCTTCAATTATAAAATCACATTCCACAAACATCAGATAAAGGTTTAAATGACAAGCATATTTATTGGTATCTTGCCAAGCTCTGTCCTCTCTCAATGCAGTATAACCAGAGTGCTGTGGTCACCACCTCAGGTGGCCAAATTCAGCCATCCCATTACTTTACAGTATTTTCTTACAGACATATATATGGAAAATTAACTTTTACGGGTATGGAAAGAGTAGGGGGAAACACGTGCAAAGTATTAGTCAGCTGAGATTATCCTTCAAAAACATCATATGTACAACAATCACTTATCATTATGTGCAACCAAAGCATTGTAAAAAGGCCATATTTCCAGACAGCATAACATCACCTTTGGCCGGAGTTCCAAATAATTTGACACCGAAAGCCTGTCAGTTAACGCAAAGGAAATAACCCTTGTGTTTTAAAATGATGCCTTTATCATAGTCACAATGAAGTGTAGGTTGCCATGCATTTTCTAGTCTGTCTCACAGTCCCTGAACCACATTATTTTCCCTACTGCCAAGCCCTCTCTGCAATGCTAAAGCCTTAAATGAAGCAAGTCTAGATCTCCTCAGGTCCAGGGTCTGTTAACATCTGCAAGAAACCTAACTCACTTTGGGGGTCGGGTTACAAAGTAAACATATCTAACTGCCATGGCTGGCCGGACTGAATCTCGTGTCTCCCTGGGGCTTCTTTTCATTTTAAATAGGTTTGTTTGTTACTATCAAAATTATATATATTCAGACACTAAGCGTTGGTCTATGTCTTTTCCAATATGATGGAAATACTAAATATATGTATTTACCAAATAAAATTCTAAAGGAGCCTTTCTTCAAGCAGTGACTTAACGCCATACATAGCTAGACTTGCTTAGATGATAGACTTTATATAAGGCATCATAGATATTTCACAAACCCTTAGCCTCATAAGCTTATTGCCTCACCACTTGCGAATTAAGCGTTGGCAGATGTAAATGTTACTGGAGATGTTGGTCCCGCCAGCTGTGGGTGTTTGGTATGGCACTCCATAACCCAAACCCTGCAGTGAGTTTTCCTAGAAACGGAAGAGGAAAAAATATCGTTCTGTGACTGTGATACAGACTGGGACAAGATATGGAAAACCAAAAATTTGGACAACAAACCATTGTTTGGGTGTTTTAATTGCAAATATGATTCAAATAGCTTAACCTAGATTTCGATATCCTCCGAATGTACATTTGGTGGAAAATATACATTCATCCCGAGACAAGGACGAATGTTTATATATAATTAAAAAATAGCAACAGCACTAGTATCCATTTTGTCTTTTGTCTTCTACCCGTCAGAACTAGATTAACAACTAGTCTCTGATATGAACATATTTTACAGAAAAATAGTTCATAGTATAAAACAATATATAATATAATGAAAAGGAGCCCTGAGACTTTCTCCTGAAGCTGTGCAAATCTAGACTTGCCACATTTTGTAGACTTGCGTGGGCTTGGATATATTTGCTTCAGGGTCTGTATGACAGACGACGTCCCAACATACGCTCAGTCACATGTGTCTCCAGGTCACGGAGAATCAGTGGTTAGAGGCCCGTATTGTAATTCTCGTGCGTTTGCCAGGCGCGTAGCAAGCCATATTTTTCGTGTAAGCCCTATGGGCTGCAAAGATTTATATTATAGGTGGTATTGAGGGCTTGCCCAACTTTCATTTTTTATGAGACTTGAAGAGTTATCGTTTGACGTTTGATGATTTCAATAGCTTCAAAATATTGTCGAAATTGAAATGTGATTTCCTCATATACAAATATGTTTGGACATAGTTTACACATGTCTGCTGCATTGATACAATACCATACATCGAGTATGTGGTGTTTTTTCTAAAATAAATGATAAACAAATGAAAAATAAACAACTGCATTTCAGTGATGATTCACATATAATCATGACTGTAACAAAACATCCTCATACATGTCGATGGAAAAACAATCATCACCGAAAGTTATGATGTGAAGAATAACCTGTTTACTGTACATGGTAATGCTTTAATCAAAGAATACTGTAGTCAGTATGATTCATAGAGTTATTTCCACTTTTTAAATGGAACGTGTTTGTAGGTATTTTTGGCAAGAATTAGAAGAAAAAGTATTTTTTAGCAAAGATCATGTGTAAGCTCGAGCTGTTTTTTATAATGGTAGCTACGCCCCTGTTTGCATGTGTTGTTGACGCGCCATGGACGCCTTGTAACATCACTATTTGATTATGATTCACAAACACATGCCCATGATATGGTCGGAATCGTGCCAAGGATTAGCAGATATTTATCATGAAAACAGGTTTTTATGTAGGTGGCTTGAAACTCGCTTTTACAAAGGCCTATAGGTTCGATCACAATACATTTCGTTTTACAGCTTCTCTTTTCTTAACATGCTCACGTCAAAACTGATTTAAATTCTAATCGCAGATTAAAGAATAAACAATAAATAGTATGCCAAATTATCGTTACCATGACAACCCTGTGAGAGTAATGCAGATGTCGGCCGTAAATTTTGATAAGTTGCTTCATCGCTATCAATAAACACTGGGTATCTATACAATTATATGTGTGATCAAAGGCCATATGATAGATTATATGGTCTCTGGTGTGATGGAGGAGAACTTGCGTCGCTAGTTTTCTCGATAATCTGAACACATGTATGTAGCGTGAAACCGGCAGATACCTTTAGAAGAAAGTGTTTGCCCTACCTGTAACAACGATGTCCCGTGTCTATAAAAGGGATATAATGTGGGGATGAATGACATGTACTTTTATCTTGGCCCGTTTATGATGATACATACTGCGATCTTTCACAATAATCCCTCTGGCTATCAGATTGAGGGTACGTTTTAAACATAACCGGTATTTCTATTATTGTATTTATAAAGTTCTTCGAACGTTCTCCATATACGTCCGTCAGATACATCGCGCACTACCCTTTTCTCTTTTGATCTTCTCCAACGACTGTTACAAGTTCAAAGAATCGTGGTCAAAGTAGAAAAGTCTTAAGACTATTCCCTACAATTCTGTAACTTACACATTGTACCCTACATGGGTAGAGCTTCCGCTCGGGGGAATATCAGAGTGAGTGAGTGAGTTTGGTTTTACGCCGCTTTTAGCAATATTCCAGCAATATCACGGCGGGGGACACCAGAAATGAGCTTCACACAATGTACCCATGTTGGGATTCGAACCCGGGTCTTCGGCGTGACGAGCGAACGCTTTAGCCACTAGGCTACCCCACCGCCCCGGGAATATCAGAAGGACAACGATACAGTTATTTCCAATGTTGTAGAAAGCACTCCACTTACTTAGGAAAACACTGAGATATTGTGTTCATGTCGGAATGATATTTTCAGCCCCTGTCAGATCTGAACTTGAACATGCGAGGTCTGCGTCTGTGTCAGACTAAAGGCCTACAAGATGTTTAGCAACACTGGGGCGTAATAGCCATAGATCTTCTCAAACAAGGGAATATATATCTTGTGAGAATGACTTCTCCGACAGGGAAATTTACAGCAATGTGACATCACAATTACTTACGTGATATTTACTCGCAATCTGAGTTATGGATCGTCAATTTAAACAGGACAATATAGACGAATTTCACAAAAGGCACGGAGATCTAACATGCCTATGATATACTCAGAGAACGCACCCGCCTGTGCTATCCGGTCATAATCGCTACACGATACAAACAATTTTTCATTTCATGTCTCACAGAATATATAATTTGATATGGCATTGTTTGTTATCGTATACTTTTGCGTTAGTGAAACAAATGTGGACAACTTTAAGTTTATGTATGGCGCTATTTCAGCAAAGGCTGAGCGAATGGAGAAATAACATTGTTCAGGCACTGTGAGACTATTAAGGAAGGTCACATGCAGTGCAATAATATTCCAATTATGTACTGCCACAAAATATTTTACAGTAGTGATGCGCGAGCTGAACAGACTTAAGAAATTACGAGTTGGTTCGTGTAGCATATTTGGCTGTGCTCCAAGAGAGACAAAGAGCTATTCTATTGGGACAGCTAGGGACACCTGCGAGGACAAAGGGGCAACGCATCGCCCTTTGTTCACCACTGAACCTTTTCATCCCTCGAAACATGCACCTCACAAGATTTGCCAAGACCACAGACAAGGCGTAACTGATACTGGTAGCAAGAGCGAGTGCAGCTTGATAAGGCGTGTGAACTTGCGTAATACTGCTTTCTTTGTTAGGCTCTTTTGGAGATAAGAATATTGAGGACATGTGAACGTTGATTTCAAACGTACTAAAATCTGTGAAAATGAAATTACATGAACCAAGTCAAGTTTAAACTGTCTACTTGAATATGCCATGTCGGCATAGAGTGATTTCATGTGAAGGATTATATGTGTTATTATTCTGAGGAATGTGATGGAGCAGGAACAATTGTATATCCGTGTGATAACCAAAGTAAGACTTTTAACATATACCATGATACTTGTTTTGAACATTTGTATATATGTATAGACTGCCAGTATTAAAACTATTTTAAATTGTTGTGTGATCTCTCCACTCGTAACAAATTGGGGGCTCGTCCGGGATCTGTTCATTTAACCATTTGGAATGTTGTTCCTAAACAGATAAAAGGGAAACTTGTGCAACTAAAGCACTCATTTACATCACACACGTATCAATTCCAAATTCAAATTGTTCATTATTTTATTGTTCAGTGTAAATAGAGAAAGCACAACAATTGGTAGTCATGGAATTCAAAGTGAAGGAGTTTTGTACAGACAATTAAGTGTTGAAGGTATCCTTGCATTGAAGAAATCTGAAGTAATACAGGTGGCAACGTATTATCAGGTTGACATTGACCCGTTGTCTAGGAAATCCCATATTCAAAACCTTGTGATAGAATACTTAGTGGATGAAAATATTTTAGATGAGAGTCTTGAACCTAAATCAAAAGTCAAGAGTGAAAAAATCATCTTAATGGAATTAGAGGTCCAAAAAGAGAAAGAGCAGACAGAAAGGGAATTGAGATCCAGGCAATTAGATATTCAGAAGCTGGAGTTAGAGCTGAAGATAAAACAGCAGAAACTAGGTGATGAGAAGAATAAGGGATTTGATGTGGCAAAATTTGTGAAACTTATTCCCCTGTTTCAAGAAAATGAGGTTGATAAGTTCTTTTTGCATTTTGAAAAGTTAGCTACAAATTTGAAATGGCCTGAAGAATCATGGACTACACTTGTTCAGAGTGTTCTCGTAGGCAAAGCTCAGGAAGTTTATGCAGCTCTATCCATTGATCAGAGCTCTGATTATCAAGTGGTTAAGAGTGTCATACTGAAAGCTTATGAGTTAGTTCCCGAGGCTTATCGACAAAAGTTTAGAAACTGTAGAAAGCATGAAGGACAGACTTACGTTGAGTTTGCTAGAAACAAGGTTATGATGTTTGATAGATGGTGTTCATCCAAAGAGATAAACAAGGATTATGAGAAATTGAAACAACTCACGCTGGTTGAGGAGTTCAAAAGGTGTATTCCATGTGACATTAAAACTTATTTGGATTAACAGAAGGCTGAATCATTAGAGCAAGCAGCTACTCTAGCAGATGACTATGCACTTACACACAAGGCTTCACTACGAAGTGCGGATTACCATAGTAGAGGAAGTTTGGTTCTTCTAGTCAGTCAAAGGCTTCAGGGAGTAGTTTTCAAGGTCAAATGTTACATGTGGTAATGCTACAGGTCATGGATTGTCTCAGCTTTCATTTAGAGGTCATAACAATAATGAGATGGCAGGTAGAGCACTTAGTTCTCCACAGGGAAACCCGTCAGCAGGATTGATGAGTTCAGGGCCAGTGTGTTCTTATTGTAAGAAAAGGGACATTTGTTAAGTACATGTTGGAAATTGAAGAACAAATCTCAGAGTGAACAGTCGCCACATGCTCTTGCCTCAGTGATATCACATCAGTTGTCTCAAAGTGGATGTTGAGGGTGTGCAGGTAGACAAGGCCCCTTTTGAAAATGGTTATTCTCCTTTATGTCAAAGGATTGGTGTCCTTAGTAGGTGATAGGTCTGTCTCAAAACCTGTAGATATCCTGAGAGATACTGGAGCCCTCCAGACTCTTATGCTAGAAGATTATCTACCATTTTCTGAGAAAACGTACACAGGAACCAGTGTCCTAATGCGGGAATTGGGGGTTACATTCAGGTACCACTTCATGACGTCCATTTGAAGTCGGATTTAGTGACAGGATCTGTTAGGGTTGGCATCATGTCAACGTTGCCAGTACCAGGTGTATCACTTATCATGGGCAATGATATTGCAGAAGATAAGGTTGTAGCTGATCTACCTAAGGTTAGTGAGATACCGTGTGCCAAGCAGGAGGAGAGACAAGTTAAGAGTATACCCTTCTTGTGCAGTTACTAGGGCTATGACGCAACAGAAAGCAAAGTCAAAAGAAAGTCTGACATTCCTAGATGCAGGGAAATTGATTTATCTGAGACTTTTATCAGTCATCTTGATGAAGGTGAGGAAGTGACACCTTCCAGTGTTAGAAATGGGGATGAAACTGATAAAGGGGACAGATGTGTTTCTAAAGGGAGTACACCTATTGTTGATAAGTTCTCATTTTCTGAGGAACCAATTGAGTGATGCTTCAAGGGAGAAACTTATTGAAGAACAGAAGATGAATCCAGAACTTAGGTTACTAAGAGACAAAGCTGTTTCTGAGAAAGATAGTCATAGGGAGGCAGTATGCTATTACCTTAAATCAGATGTTTTGATGAGGAAGTGGAGACCTCCAGATAGTTCAGCAGATGAGGAATGGAACATACTGCACCAGATTGTCATTCCACCAGTGTATAGACATGAGATTCTTAGCCTAGGGCATGATACTTTACTTGCAGGACACTTAGGGGGTCAACAAGACCTACCAAAAGATCGTAACTCATTTCTATTGGCCAGGAATTCAGAATGATGTCAGGAAATTCTGTAGAACATGTCACACGTGTCAAATGGTCGGTAAACCTAACCAGAAGATAACAAAATATCCCTTGCAACCTATTCCAACGGTTGAAGAACCATTCAGCAGGGTCATAATAGATTGTGTTGGACCCCTCCCTCGCACACGGACAGGAAATGTCTATTTGTTGACAATAATGTGTGCATCTACACGTTTTCCTGAAGCTATTCCTTTAAGGAACATTAAGACTCCTGCCATTGTCAAAGCGTTGATTAAGTTCTTCACTCTAGTAGGGTTGCCAAAGTCCATCCAGTCAGATCAGGGATCTAACTTTATGTCTGGGATATTTCAGCAGGTTATGAATGAGTTAGGTATCACTCAGTACAGTTCGAGTGCCTATCATCCTGAGTCACAGGGTGCTCTTGAGCGATTCCATCAAACGCTAAAGAATATGCTTAAGGCTTATTGTGAAGACAATCAGAAAGACTGGGACGAAGGGATTCCATACATGTTGTTTGCAGCTAGGGAATCAGTACAAGAATCACTGGGTTTCAGTCCTTTTGAGTTAGTATTTGGACGCGTACAGTTCGGGGACCATTAAAAGTACCTGAAGGAGAAGTGGCTAGATGAGGATACAGAAATGAGTCTGCTTGATTTCGTTTCAAACTTCAAAGAGAGGTTTACTAAGGCTTGTAGCATTGCAAAACAAAACCTGCAGGATAGTCAAGGAGAAGATGAAAACCTGGTATGATACAAAAGCAGGACATAGAGAGTTTGTGGCAGGTGACAAAGTACTCATCCCTTCTACCAATACCAGGACATCCATTTAGAGCTAGGTTCTATGGCCCATATCTTGTACATAGGAAATTGAGTGACACAGATTATGAAATAGAAACTCCAGATCGGAGGAAGGCCAAAAGAGTTTGTCATATCAATATGATGAAACCATACTATGATAGGTATGCTGAAACTGTACCAAAGACTGTGAGTGTTAGCACAATAGACACAGTAGAAATAACTGAGAATGATACATTGGCTAGAGACTCTTGTACAAAGAGCAAAGAACCTGATGTGAAGCTTAATAACTCTTGATGTCTTAAGCAATCTAGATTCTAAGTTAGCACATGTGACTCATGAACAGAAGATAGAACTGGAGGAGTTAATTCACGAGTACTCACATTTATTTCCAGATGTACCGTCTAGGACAGATTGCATCTATCATGACACAGATGTAGGAGAGTCAACTCCTGTTAAGCAACATGCTTATCGTATGAACCCAATCAAATTAGCTCAGCTTAGAACTGAGATTCAATACATGTTGGACAATAACATCATCGAACCCAGCAATGGCTTTGAGTTATCCATGTATCCTTGTACCTAAGGCTGGAGGAGGTGTTCGACTATGCAATAACTACAAACGAGTCAATGGTCTCTCCAAATCTGATTCCTATCAATGCCTAGAATTGATGATTGTATTGATAAGATAGGAAACGCTAGATATGTAAGCAAATTTGATTTATTAAAGGGATACTGGCAGATCCCGTTAACAGATAGAGACAAAACAAGTATCAGCATTAAGTTACCCCAGAAGGCTTATATCAATATAATGTGATGCCTTTTGGATTGAAAAATGCACCAGCTACCTTTCAAAGACTTATCAACTCCATCACAGGAAGAATTGACCAGTGTGACGCATACATTGATGACGTCATCGTGGCTACTGACGAGTGGGATGATCAGATCAAGACCATTCGGATGTTGTTTGACTCTGTAACACAAGCCAAACTCTCTATCAACTTGACCAAGAGTGAATTTGTGAAAGCCACAGTAACTTATTTAGGTCATGTTGTGGGACAAGGTGAAGTTAAACCAGTACAGGCCAAAATACAGGCTGTGAACATGTATCCAGAACTCCAAAACAGGAAAGAATTGATGAGATTCTTAGGAATGGCTGGATATTATCGCCGTTTTTGCCAGAACTTTTCCCAAGTAGCAGCACCACTGACCAACCTACTGAAGAAAGACTGCAAATTTATCTGGGAAGAATGTCAACAGCAGGCATTTGAGAAAATCAAAGCTATTCCGGACTAATGCACCTGTGCTAGTAGTGCCTGACTTCAGCAAAGCCTTCAAGCTCTGTGTTGATGCATGTGACATAGGAGCAGGAGCAGTGTTACAACAAAGAAGACAGTTTGGGGATAGATCATCCCATCTGCTACTTCAGCAAGAAATTTGACAGTCATCAAAACACTACTCTACAATAGAGGAGGACATTGGCACTAATACTGGCTCTCCAACACTTCGAAGTGTATCTGGAGCACTACGGTGACACCAATTCTAGTGTTCACGGACCACAATCCACTTGTGTTTGTGAAAAGCTCAAGAACAAAATCAGCGATTAATGCGTTTGGAGTATACAGCTGGAAGATTTTGACCTTGACATTCGTCATATCAAAGGAAAAGACAATATATTGGCTGATGCTCTTTCACGGGCAATGTAGCTTGGGACAAGAAGTCATGATTACCTTGACTGTATGAACTGTAATCCAAAGCCTGTTTCAAATTGACAAATGAGACATCTTGAATGTGCGGACATTATGTGAATGTGTTTATGACAAATGTTGTACATAGTTTTACACTGAAGTTTTTCAACATGCAAAACTTCTTTTCAAGAGGGGGAATGTTATGAGAGTATGTCATATATCTATACATAATTCTGTATATATATTTATAAACCTGAAGTCATTCTAAAATATATTTACATTCCTAAAATACCTGTTCACCTCAATTGAGAAGCTATGCTTACCAGTGACCACTCTCCATTGTCTATAAGTAAGCTGGTGTAATGAAACAACGATGTTATATAATTGTATAGTTTATGTATGGCGCTATTTCAGCAAAGGCTGAGCGAATGGAGAAATAACATTGTTCAGGCACTGTGAGACTATTAAGGAAGGTCACATGCAGTGCAATAATATTCCAATTATGTACTGCCACAAAATATTTTACAGTAGTGATGCGCGAGCTGAACAGACTTAAGAAATTACGAGAGTTGGTTCGTGTAGCATATTTGGCTGTGCTCCAAGAGAGACAAAAGAGCTATTCTATTGGGACAGCTAGGGACACCTGCGAGGGACGAAGGGGCAACGCATCGCCCTTTGTTCACCACTGAACCATTTAATCCCCTCGAAACATGCACCTCACAAAGATTTGCCAAGACCACAGACAAGGCGTAACTGATACTGGTAGCAAGAGCGAGGTGCAGCTTGATAAGGCGTGTGAACTTGCGTAATACTGCTTTCTTTGTCAGGCTCTTTTTGGAGATAAGAATATTGAGGACATGTGAACGTTGATTTCAAACGTACTAAAATGTGTGAAAATGAAATTACATGAACCAAGTGTTATGAGAATGTCATATATCTATACATAATTCTGTATATATATTTATAAACCTGAAGTCATTCTAAAATATATTTACATTCCTAAAATACCTGTTCACCTTAATTGAAAGCTATGCTTACCAGTGACCACTCTCCATTGTCTATAAGTAAGCTGGGGTAATGAAACAACGATGTTATATAATTGTAGCTTGGGTTTTGACTTGTTCAAGCAAGGTAACACACAAAGTGATCAGTGCCCAGGTCGGAGTGAACTGAACGGTTTGGCCATGTCGGCAAGTTTAAACTGTCTACTTGAATATGCCATGTCGGCATAGAGTGATTTCATGTGAAGGATTATATGTGTTATTATTCTGAGGAGAATGTGATGGAGCAGGAACAATTGTATATCCGTGTGATAACCAAAGTAAGACTTTTAACATATACCATGATACTTGTTTTGAACATTTGTATATATGTATAGACTGCCAGTATTAAAACTATTTTAAATTGTTGTGTGATCTCTCCACTCGTAACACACTTAATACACATGATGGAAACATTATGATCATCTTGCTTGAGTACAGGTAAGATGAAGGTGTATGAACCGTTCATATACATACCCTGAAATCCGGTATGATACATAAATATCTAAGGTGTGTAAATATTTGCAAATTTTAAAATTTACATGTGTTTCCCCAACTAAGTAAATTCACATGATTCCAGCCCGAGGAAACTTAGAACGAAAATCGGAAATTTCAGTACCCACTGAAATTGAAAGGAATGCATTGGAAATACTGTATGATCATGTATTTACCGGGGTATCTGTTTTTTGCAATTCATGTTTGGAAATCCCTGACAATCCGGTCAGGGCATACATGAACGAGGTGCTTGTGCATACGAAAATGTACGATGAGCATATGTTTCAAAGGTATAGATTCATATGAAATATATGCCCAAAGTTAGGAAATATCTGAAAACATACGTAAATCCGATCATGGCATGTATTTCCTACTGTATTTACGTTTATTTCAATGGTTTACTATCCGGCTTTTTGGTCCTGTGTAGGAATGACCTAATCAGGGGGAGTAACTCCTTGTCCAGTTCTTACGTCATCATGTCCCGGACAGCGTGAATGACACACGAGGCCGTAAAATATATTTATCATAAGGTCTCTGACTTTACTAAACCTCCTCACAGATTGAGAGAAGCTTAAATGCAGGCTAAGTGGGACTACCTTTAATGTGATGGGTATGTTCCTTGTGTGTAGTCAATCAGTGTAACTAATTGTTCTTTGAAAAGATAATACTCTTGCAAATAGTACTCTTACCATAGAGCTGGTTTTGAAATAATAATGTTATGTTAATCTTATGTCACATTTCTTTTGGTGCAGTTAGAAAGATATGAGGAATATTGATTAATAAAAATGTCGACTAACTTATGCATTGCAAAAAGTAATGATACAAGTATTGACGGTTGTTACCATAAGGTGCGCGTGGTTGGATAAAGAACCCTTCTCTGTCCACTAAATATTTAATACTTTGATACTTTCATGACTATGATCTTATACAGAATAAGATGAAAATGTAGCAGAGAGGGTTCGGGTTATCCTGGCACAGTCAGGCTGGTAAGGCTCATCATCAGCTCAGGGCCCTTGCCCGCTCTACACGCAGCCCAGACAGCGAATGGGACTTCTCCCAGGAAACGCTGCCTAGTCGAACCCACCAAGAACTTTCCGGAGAATATGAAGGCTCCCCAGCACTGCAGCCTTCTGCATTACCCAGATGTCAGAAGGGCTGTGCTCCCGGTGGAGAACCTCGGGCACTCTCCTGATCTGCGCCAAGAGATCAGGAGGTACCAAACCTAGGGCACCGAGAACAATGGGGAGCCTGACGACAGTGTACTTGGGATGCAAGAGAGACATTTCAAAGGCGAGGTCCGCATGTTTATCATGCTTTTCCTGAATCTTGCCAATCACATTGCTGTCAAATGATATAAATATTTATCATTGTGATTATTATTATCCTTATTTTCACTGCTTCATTCATTTCTACTCCATCGACCGTACCAAACTGAGAAAGACAGGTTTTATTGACTAACCTAGCCTTGCTCCAAGGCTGTACTGAATGGTGAGCCCATGGATGTACAGTAATTATATTCCTCGAAGAGGCAAGTCTAGATAGGATAGTCTGTTGTTATTATTTTTTGGAAATTATCATTTAAACTATTGAATTTTACCATAGAGACTAAACTAAGACTAACCGTGTTGCATTATTTAACTCCAAGGCTGTCTGATAAAACCTCTAGGACTTTCCAATGTAACGGTAGGGTCATTCTGTAGATCATATCTTAAATTGGTTTTCCTTTTACATAACTGAAACTGCTGTTAGGGAACCGAAGGACAGTATCCTTCAGATGTTTATCTTTGAAAAAAGGGCTTCGTTGGTTGCTGTTTAAAGCCGCATTCAGCAATATTCCAGCTATACGGCGGTAAAGAAGGAAACAGGGGACAAGTAACACCCCAGAGATCAAATATTCATACTTACAATATAGAGTGAGTGAGTTGGGTTTTACGCCACTTTTAGCAATATTCCAGCAATATCACGGCGGGGGCCACCAAAATGGGCTTCACACATTGTACCCATGTGGGGAATCGAACCCGAGTGTTTGACGTGCTCAGCTAACGCGATAACAACTAGGTTACCCCACCGTCCCTCCTTTACACAAAAGCAAGTGAGTAAATAATACTTGCACAAGACTCTATTTTCTGGAGTTATAATTAACTTAAAGGTACACTTACAATTAACTTAAAGGTACACTGTATATGTCAACTAAACTGTATAAGTCAATAAGTGATTACGTATAGACTTGCACTTCAGGTTTACATCGAATTAAAGATACTATATACCCGTACACATACTACGAGGTCGGGTATATCTGACACACTGAATAGGCTTAGTCAAACGTAGATGGCTTAAGACAAACACTCATAGAACATATACTTGGTACTTCTGTATTTAAATAGCATCTGTTCTTCTATATATAATTATGATAAGCAAAAGCATAAAAATACGTGGTAAAACTATTTGTTCAATCAGGTAACCATGAAGCCTAAATAATAAACTGCATAAACTGTATCAACACATTGATGCTGATCAGTTCTTGTCAATGAAAACTGTTCATCAAATGCTGAGCCCAAACTGAATGAATACAATGTTATAATAGGTAGGGCTGGATCGATGAAAGATCGATAATTGGAAATATCGTCAGGAGGAAATGAAAATAGAGTTATCAATAATATCATACATGAACTTTAGTGAGAGAATAAAGTTTAAATTTACTCACACAATACACAAAGCTAGGTTTTTATTCACGGTCTGCTTCTAAATTATGGTCAGGACGCTGTTTTGTTAGTAATCCACGCATAAACATGTGAGCAGTGTGAAATATATTTATTTCTTTCAGACATTTCTTGCTCAAAGTTACTTCTCCGATATTTATCGATAATCGATCAATATTTAGTTAACGAAAATCGATCTCTATGATATAAATCGATGGTCAGTCCTAATAAAAGGCCCATGCATGCACATCCGTATCTGATCATAGTATAATCATAGATGATTACTTACAAAAGGCAGTGAGGTGTTATATTACTGAACTTAACAATATAAAACTCTGAAGGAGGAAATAAATCAGAATTTTCATGGTTTTGGCCCAATAGGCTATCAGAAAATCGATTAACTTAACCCCGGTTTACTGGGGGCTAGGTTAAGTTAATCGATTTTCTTACCCGCAGTGGGGGCCTATGGTTTGGCCATGTCACGGACGATAAAGGTCGCATTGAAAAACTGCTGTCAGAGTTTAAAACATTTATAAGGACCATGATATTTATCTTTAAATCACCTACTGACCAAAGATTCCTTCAACAGTTGCTAGTTATGAGAATATATTATGATAACAACATATTGTTAGATTGACAATATCATTGTGACACGTAAAGGTTTAACGTGTAAACACTCCGAACAGCTCATATTAATACTTCATAATCATTACACATAATAAGATTATTCTCTGTATATTATGACGTTATAACATCAGTGGAAGGTTTTACGGAATGAAGAAAACAATGTCTACTAACCAATAAACTTGAAAAGAGCGATTGCTTGAAAAGAAGATTCTGGCACAGCAGTAAAGAGAAAGTAGGAATGTCCTAATCAGGGGAAGTAACTCCTTGTCACTTCTTACGTCATCATGTCCCGGACAGCCATTCGTCACCACTCGCCCCTTTCCGTAACCTCCAAGAAGGCTCGTCCCCCACTCGATACTTGTTATGTGCGAAAATACGACAAACCAATCAGAACGCGCGTAAATGAGCGCGGTGCTTTGATAAAAATAATCCCGAGTGCTTAAATCTTTTATGGCATTATGTTATTGTCTAAAGAATCATGAAAAATATATATCGTCATATTGAAAGTACAAAGAACGTAGCTAAAGGGATTTTGCTGCCTATTATGAAGTTTTTAATAAAAATCATGCGATTGACGGTGAGAGATTCAAATACACGCACGTGCGTTTGCTGACATAACTGCTCTCATGGGCCCAACTGAGTGTATTTCTGATGATCTTGCGGGCTTGTTATGGAGATTGTACGTGCGCTTCGACCAATTTTAGGAAATGTAATTATAACCCCTACGAGTTTCAAAACAATAATATCGTATTTGTATGTAACTTAATCTTTAACATTGGGCTTATATTTCATAGCTCTGGGGATATTTTAGTCTGAGTGTTTTTTTTGGTCATTCATATTTTTTTCAGCGAATCCATTTGAAATTCCACCAGGGATGTGACAGCAAGGTTACATGAATGTTCAGTCTGAGAAATACTTTAAAGTCATTTTTGAGTATCTGCTTTTGGATTTAATGTAGCTGAAATTTATTTTGTGTATATTCAATAAAACAATTCCCATTTGTGATGATTAAACCCTATTAAGAAAATTAACATAATTGGAAATATAAGGTGAACCGCTGGTAATAATTACATTAGAATATGTCTTTAACAAATATGTTTTTCTCTTTCAAAGTGGTTTAATTCTTTAAAATAAATAAGTATAAACATCCCCAAAACAACAACCTAGCAATGTACATGTGCTTCGGTGATATTAAGAAACATTGGAATCAACCAGGGATAGAGTTGTCGTTCTTGTTTAAAGTAGTTCTGATGTTCATGCGCCAATATGAAATCCTTCCAGAGGGGCACGAGTCGCTATTCGGCTTGTCCCGGAATAACAAGAGGCGGTCACGAATGCCGGACAGCGTGAATGACACACGAGGCCGTAAAATATATTTATCATAAGGTCTCTGACGATATTAAACCTCCTGACAGATTGAGAGAAGCTTAAATGCAGGCTAAGTAGGACTACCGTTAATGTGATGGGTATGTTCCTTGTGTGTAGTCAATCAGTGTAACTAATTGTTCTTTGAAAAGATAATACTCTTGCAAATAGTACTCTTACCATAGAGCTGGTTTTGAAATAATAATGTTATGTTAATCTTATGTCACATTTCTTTTGGTGCAGTTAGAAAGATATGAGGAAGATTGATTAATAAAAATGTCGACTAACTTATGCATTGCAAAAAGTAATGATACAAGTATTGACGGTTGTTACCATAAGGTGCGCGTGGTTGGATAAAGAACCCTTCTCTGTCCACTAAATATTTAATACTTTGATACTTTCATGACTATGATCTTATACAGAATAAGATGAAAATGTAGCAGAGAGGGTTCGGATCATCCTAGCACAGTCAGGCTGGTAAGGCTCATTATCAGCTCAGGGCCCTTGCCCCCTCTATACGCAGCCCAGACAGCGAATGGGACTTCTCCCAGGAAACGCTGCCTAGTCGAACGCACCAAGAACCTTCCGGAGAATGTGTAGACTCCCCAGCACTGCAGCCTTCTGCATTACCCAGATGTCAGAAGGGCTGTGCTCCCGGTGGAGAACCCCGGGCACTCTCCTGATCTGCGCCAAGAGATCAGGAGGTATCAAACCTAGGGCACCGAGAACAATGGGGAGCCTGACGATAGTGTGTACTCGGGATGCAAGAGAGACATTTCAAAGGCATGTCCGCATGTTTATCATGCTTTTCCTGGATCTTGCCAATCACATTGCTGTCAATAAATTTATATATTTATCATTATGATTATTATTATCCTTATTTTCGTTTGCTTCATTCATTTCTACTCCATCGACCATACCAAACTGAGAAAAGACAGGTTTTATTGACTAACCTAGCCATGCTCCAAGGCTGTAATTGAATGGTGAGCCCATGGATGTACAGTAATTATATTCCTCGAAGAGGCAAGTCGAGATAGGATAGTCTGTTGTTATTATTTTTTGGAAATTGTCATTTAAACTATTGAGATTTTACCATAGAAACTAAATCTAAGACTAACCATGTTGCATTATTTAACTCCAAGGCTGTCTGATAAAACCTCTAGGACTTTCCCCGATGTAATGGTAGGGTCATTCTGTAGATCATATCTTAAATTGTTTTTTTTCTTTTACATAACTGAAAATACTGTTAGGGAACCGAAGGACCGACAGTATCCTTCAGTTGTTTATCTTTGAAAAAAGGCTTTGTTGGTTGCTGTTTAAAGCCGCACTCAGCAATATTCCAGCTATATGGCGGTTAAAAAGGAAACAGGGACAAGCAACACCCCAGAGATCAAATATTCATACTTACAATCTAGAAGTGAGTGAGTTGGGTTTTACGCCACTGTTTGCAATATTCCAGCATTATCACGGCGGGGGACACCAGAAATGGGCTTCACACATTGTGCCCATGTGGGAATCGAACTCCGAGTTCGGCGTGACGAGCGAACACTTTAACCACTAGGCTACCCCTGCTCTTTCAATATAAGAACGTCTGTGCAAAGAATACCCACTCTTGACTATCCTCAGAAATAAATTCCTCTTGGTGTTAAGTGAAAATTGGCTGTAGAAAGATATTTGAAAGGATCACTAAAATTGGTTATAACACCAGGTGTTCGCGAAAGGGGTAAGCGCATGTTCTGCCCGACTGGCATTCTCTTCCCACAGAGGTTACTTGTCATTTCTTCCTACGAATCTCAGTTCTAATACGGCCATATTTCCCGGTTCTCGTAAAATCCCTAGCTAGCGGCACGAGAACACGTGTTACATCAACTTGACTAATACAAGCAAATGTTGGGTCACAAATATCCCTCTGCCAGGAACGTGTGTTGATGTGACACACAAGACATTTAATGGCTAAGCTTGTCCGTTTTCAACGAGGGCGATGGAAAAGCGCCATTGATCCGCCATTTTACATGACTGAGTTTTGTCTATAAGAAACGTTTGCGCATCGCGCAGGAAAGAAGGCATTCGTCACCACTCGCCCTTTCCGTAACCCCGCTATTCGGCTTGTCCCGGAATAACACGAGTTGGTCAGAATAAGAAAGAGGTTCTAGTTTTCCCAGAAGCATACGGAAATAACCGAGGCCTTGCGAATGATCACTTTTGAAACAACGTCGCTGATTGCACAACTAAAATCTGATTGCAACCAATCACGAATCCTGAACACTCGCACCATGAAAGGGCCGTATTAGCACAGAGAGTTCGTAGGAAGATATGACAAGTAACCTCTGTGGGGAGAGAATGCCTATTTCCAGACTACACGTATTTTTAACCGAGATGCAATATTTGGCCGTTCTTCATCATAAACGGACATAGTGTGTTGCCATCAGGTGTCATAGGATAGGGATAATTTCCGCCTTTTCTGGACTACACGTATTTTTAACCGAGATGCAATATTTGGCCGTTCTTCATCATAAACGGACATAGTTGTGCCATCAGCTTCGTCATATGCGGCCGTATTTCAACAAGTTAGGGACTGGGACCGTTGTTCAAAGAAGAACCCATTTCATCGGAGGAAAGCGGGGTTTTGTTTCGACAAAGTTATGCAGTTAAATATTATGGTAATAGATTCATTAGCTGCAGCTTCTCAACCATCATTAAACGGCTCTGTTCCCAAATTCTTACTGTTGACACGATCTTTGTAGAGGACGCTCCGTATAAGAAACCGTATTTCCTAATAAAAAGGGGTATACCGTATCGAATATTTAATCTAAAAATAACCACCAATAATTTAGTGTATACATGCCTACCCTTTTCGCGAACACCCAGTGTCAGCGGTCCATTAATATAATGTTCCCAGCTTTTTGTCCTTAACACAAATCGGAATCTGTTATGTGGATTGTCAAGATTTCTACTTTTGCACTGACGTTTTACACTAATGGTTGTCGTTGTAACCTTCAGTGCTGTTTCCATTCACCAAGTCCGTGTTTGAGAAGGTGGACTTCCAGATTCTGGACACCGACAAAGACAAGGCGAAGTTCCGTTCTATGATCAAACAGGTGATCGAGGACAGGAAGAATAATCCCGACTCGGTAGGTAAGTCGTCATTGGGTCGAGGTAGTCTTTATAATCATATTTAAGTTCTCGCTACCGCTAAACAAAGACCACGTCCCTGATCCAAAAAGCGTTCATAGCTCTACGACATTCGTAAGCCTAAGGTAAACTATAGGGTTATGCTTTATTGATAGGGACCGTGAAGAATTCCCATTACGGGATCAGGGTCGGAACGACACTTGTAGAAAGCGATCTGAACAGTGCGACGAAATCTATGCTATTCAATAATATATTGAATAAAAATGAAACAAGGTTACAAAGAACGACGATACTGATTTCTAATACAATACTATTGAGTCTCAACTCTTAAATATTGGTTCACAAATCTAACATATCAACCAAAAGTCTGTAGTTACTACAGTCTTGATTCTTGTGGATGCACTGATGAAGGTTGTAGACGGCATTCGAGACGAGGAGAGCGGATTATGTTAGCAGACAGATGAGCGTAAATCCAAAGAAGTCCTCAAAGTCGTGTCGAACATGTCAGCAACCAATCCTTATATACCTATCACACAGTTCTCCGGAATTCTAGCAGTAGCTACGCCTCACTACGGCCATTTTGATCACACTACCATCATGTAGAACTCACTCGAATGAATGCCATAGTAAGCAGCAAACCGGGAGTATAACAAAGAGGAGGTAACTCCCGAGCGCAGCTCCTCAGCCCACTCTCAACAGGCTGAATTACATAGCCTAAGCAGAGATCATATAATAGATGGTCTCTGGCCTAAGCAAGATGCGAGTTCAAAACAAAAACACACCTTCATAACTCAAGTGATCCGTCATCGTTGTTCAACCGCATGCCTGACCAGTTCACACTTACTACAACGTCGAATGTTTGCGGCTTAATAAGTCACAAACTCCAAATATGAGAGAATTTTAACATATGAAGCTTCACTTATTCTTTGGCATATTGTGCCCCCCCCCCCCCAGTGATATTGCTGGAATATTGCTGAAAGCAGCATAAAATTGAAATCTCTCACTCGTTTGAGTAAGTCTTCTTCATTGTCCAATCCCTGAGTGGTAGTAATCAGCATTTCTACACTGGTTGAAATGTGAACAAAATTATTTTTCGAGAGGGGATACTTAAGGACCAACAAAATATCTTTATGTGACACCTGTGGTATGATGCCATATGGTCATTGGCTTTATAAGATATGAAAGCAGCACTTTTTCTGGACACAATATTGCGGAAATAATGCCGACGAAACATCAATGTTTAAGTGAGTGAGTGAGTTCAGTTTTACGCTGCACTCAGCAATATTCCAGCTATATGGCGTCGGTCTGTAAATAATCGAGTCTGGACCAGACAATCCAGTGATCAACAGCATGAGCATCGATCCACGCAATTGGGAACCTATGACATGTGTCAACCAAGTCAGGGAGCTTGACCACCCGATCCTGTTAGTCGCCTCTTACGACAAGTTTGGGTTACTGAAGATCAATATTCTTTCTAACTCGGATCTTCACGGGTCTCAATGTTTAAGTCACTGAGATGCTTATATGACACTTTATAATATTAAACACGGCTGATTACAAACAGAAGAACTATATATCACGTATATATCACAGAATGGTTCAGCAGTAGTCATGAATCTTACACCCTGGCTCATATACCTCATGGGAGGGGTGGAGTGGCCTAGTGGTAAACCGTCCGCTCACCATGCTGATGACCCTGGTTCGATTCCCCACATGTTCACAATGTGTTAAGGCCATGTCTGATGTGCCCAGCCGTGATATTGCTGGAATATTGTTAAAAAGTGGCGTAAAACCTTACTGAATGACTCACGCACTCACTCATTTACACTTCCGCACAGGATCACAGTGACATCCTGCAGGCGATGTTGGACACCCACAAGGAGGAGTCTTCACAAGACCCGGATGATGATTCTGATGACGACACGGAGACCAAGCTTGACTTCAAGTACTTCAAGAAGCGAGGTACAGAACGTACACACTATAAGCCATATTCTTTAAACGTGCAGAAAACACGGTAAAAACGTATCGAAATATCCAGCATCAGGGACCTTTTCCGGCAATGGTTGTCATTGGCATCATAGCGTACTGTTTGAATACAAAGGCCAGATATCAGAGATACATGTGTAGACCCCTGTGGGAAAGTGTCCACGGAGCACACAAAGCCACCACCTTCAAGTGCCAGTACTAGGACAAGCCGTGTTAGTGAGTGGATTTAGCCGGACGTGCAGGTGTATCGTCTATATATTTCAGGTCTGACAAACTATGAGATCTTCTGCAACTCCCACATCTTCCTCCTTGCCGGCTACGACACCACCTCCAACGCCTTGACCTTCACCGCCTATCTCTTAGCAAAACACCCAGAGATCCAGGAGAAGTTGTACCAGTCGATAAGGACACACATTGGCGATGTAAGTACCCAGAATGAGACTGGGAAGAGGGTATACCAGTCGATAAGGACACACTTTAGTGATGTAAATAAACACACTTCAGTGTGTATTCAGGCTGACCCGTAGCTAATCACAAATAATATGGAAGTGTCCCAGTCGGCTCGTCAAATAGGACTGTCAGAAATTGATGATGATGATGATTTGGAGATTTAACGTACGCTCTCCGACATGAGGCGTATTTTGCACACGCTGAGGATTTTGTCCGAAATCCTGCACCATGCCAAGACACAACCGGGGGGCACCTGTCGGTCGCATTACATACACTTGCTTTCCGTTTTGTCTTCCTATCAAAATTTATTCAAAAAGGTCCTCCCTGTTAAAAGAGTAAACGGATTTGGCGTTACACGGTTTAGAGATACTTCATGCAGTATCACTACACCATTGCTACCCGAGGTATTATGTAAGCAACGGTAAAGGACGAGTGGATACGACTGACTGATATCAGCTGAAGATACGTTGAAGAGCTTGTAGAATTGCTTCCGAGTATTTCCGAGGATAATATGGGCATGGAAATATCCACATACATTTCAACAACGATGTCCACACCCTCGTAGACCAGATCTATATGAGAAAAAACAAAGATCTGTATTTACATCAAGTAATGTTTTTTCATCATCGTGTGTGTTGTGTTTGTGTAGAAGAAGCCCACGTACGCCGACGTGACGAAGCTTCAGTACTTGGAGAACGTGTTCCTGGAAACTCTGAGACTCTATCCCCCGGCAACCAGGTCGGTGGAGCTCCAGCCAGACCCTCACTAAACCTACGTATACATAGTTCATGTACACGCAATGGTAGTACCTCTAGTAACTAGAACTCGATAGAAATACAAAAACGCCTTTTTGATAAAGAACCTTCTTGATCATTATGGCGTATCTCTTGAGGTGAGGTGAGGTGAAATTGGGTTTAACGTCGTGCTTGAGAATATTTCGCTTATATGACGACGTGCATGCGTGTGTATGTGTATGTGCGGCTGCTTGTACTAGCCCAGACTTAAGCTGGTTTTATAGTGCTAGCCCACTGAGATACCATGCCGCAGTGAAGCATGAATACCCCACTCAGACACATTATACTGACTCCGCGCCGACCAGTCCTTGTTGTACCCATTAATGCCGAGCGCCAGGCAGGGACCAACAAGTACCACATTTTAACGTCTTTTGGTATGACGCGGTCAGGGATCGAACCCGCGACCTTCCGCTCTCTGGGCGGACGCTCTAACCACTACACCACGGAGGCGGTCCGTATCTCTTGAAGCTTTGGGTGAGTGAATGAATGATATTATGGCGGGGGAACCAGAAATTTGCTTCACATATTTTACCAATGTGGGGAATCGAACCCGGGTCTTCAGTGTAACGGGCGAACGCTTTAACAACTTTTCTACCCAACCGCCCCTATGGATGAAGTGGGAAGGATAGCATTCATATATGTCAGCCCGTTTACAAACCCTGTCTCTTCCAGGATCACACGAGTTCCCGCCAAGAGCACCAACATCAACGGCTACCACATCCCCGCCGGCCTGCCCATCATCATACCCGTGTACGCCATACAGCATGATCCAGAATTCTGGTCCGACCCGGAAAAATTCGACCCTGACAGGTAATATGACATTCATAATTCATATATAGGAGTCTCTTCCAGCTACATGGTCTTTTACACGAATATTCCTGCACACGTGTCGAATTTCTACCACTCACTCTTGTTAGTTATTTCATTGTCGGCTGTGTTGGGTTGTTATTTGTTGTTGTAATATTAGGTCTAAAGAAGAACCAAGTTTCACATTGTACCAATGTTCGGAATCGAACCCGGGTCTTCGGCGTGACGAGCGAACGCTTTAACAACTAGACTACCCCACCGCCCCCGGGGACATGCGGGAATTCACTATGCTGAGTAACGTCAGTAGGCATTCAAGAAACCAAGATCGTGGGTTCGAATCCCAGTTTTCCCCGATTATTGTCTAGTTTTGTCAGCACCATGCCTGTGCGCGTGGGTTTTAGTTCCAGCTTTCTGCCAATTCAAGATGACAGACAGTCATATAACTTACATTTTTGTTCCAAAATTATATTTTTCAACATCAAGGTTTCTTCCTGAGAATAAGCATGAGCTACACAACTACATGTGGATGCCGTTTGGCGTCGGGCCGCGGAACTGTCTGGGGATGAGGCTCGCCTTGCTGGAAGCCAAGATGGCGATAGTAGCGTTAGTGCAGAACTTCCGGTTTGTTGTGAGCCCGGAGACAGAGGTCAGTTGCTTTACCTCTGTAGTCAGTTCTTTCTTTAGCTCACCTGACTAGAACACCTGTCATCTGTCTTACCAGTCATCCGTTATGGTAACCTGTAAACATTTTCCCTCTGACGACAGTAAATCTTTGTTTTACAATTCAGTTGGTTCCAAATCAAGTTTATAGTGCCCTTCTTATGAAATACAGCGCTGTCCTGTCTGTCCCAGACTTTTTATATACAGGTATATACACGCTTTTGTGAGTGGGTTTGAGTTTTACACCGATTTTAATGATATTAAAGCAAAATGACGGCGGGGGGTCACCAGAAATGGGCTTCACACATTGTACCCATCTGGGGAATCGAACCCGGGTCTTCGGCGTGACAAGCGAACACTTTAACCACCAGGCTACCCCACCGCCCCCAGGCTCTTGTAGATGACATCCTCCAGCGTCCAATTCAAACATTCATTCGCTCAGTTATGGTCGTGGAATCGCTTCACCTTAACCACGGTATGGGTTTGACAAACAGTGACGTATATTCTGTGGTGAGTGTTGTTGGTAACTTTTTCTGAAAGGTATTTCTGGTTTCAGGCGTCTGTCAAACTGGAAAAGGGAGGTTTCGTTAGACCAGAGAACAATCTTTATATCGGCGTTGAAAGACGCCAGCAGGCTTCATAATAGTCATACTAGACGCAGCCACCAACTGATCACATTTCACAAGACAAAGATTGAAGAAGAATTTGCAGCAATGTCGTTTGTGCAAGACGCCTGTGTATGGTGTAACCAGAAAGATCAAGAAACGGAAGGTGACCCTTGTTGGGGTGAACATCAAATGCGATTTAGATCGCCTCGTGTGTTGCTTGGTGTTGAACTTGACCATCTGGCTTTTGTTTTAATTCAGACCTTGATATCCAGTCAGATCTCCGTTCGTATTGTAATGGCCTCACAAAGATGATTACCATTGAAAACGACCTGATTGATAAGATGACAACAGGGTCATACAGACAAGTAACACTACACTGTATCATGTAACACTGCTAATCGACGCGACATGAAACGCTCATGTGGGCATTCAGGAATGACAGACGTTGGCAGTGGCCGTAGCAACCACTTCGTCATCAACGCAGATGTTGATTTTTCAGAACGTTTTTCATTCAACTGGCATTCATGTGTCCTATTTTAGCACAGGCTTGAAATTACAAGGGTGGAAATTAGACTTTGATATAGGGTTGGTTGTTGCTCTAGCCCGCAGGTATCTGTCTGATGCATACTGACTTTAATTACATGAGTATACATACAGTGGAAACCTGATAAGTAAAAGGGACTCGACAAAATTGTTTACTTATCAGGTATTTTACTTATCCGGTATTTTACTTATCCAAACTGATAAAAACCTGCAAATTACAACCATATGCATGTATATGTATGCATATGTAACAATGGACCACTTATCAGGGCTGGCCTCCAGTTGTCAGTGTATTGTCAACTGCTTGACGCCAGCGAGCTGTAAGTAGGATGTTTGTTTGACTGGAGACTGACACGACTGCCCCTCATGTCGGATTATGTGGTGATCGCTAATTTAGTTATCCAGTATCTTTTGTTAAGTAATTTACTTCCAGGGACCGTGAGAGACGTTTAGTTAAGCGGTATTGTTTACTTATCCGAGTTTAGTTAACCAGACTCTAATAGTGATAATTAATGAAGAAATTTGCCGGGACCAAAGAAAAGTGTTTACTTATCAGGTCTGTTTAGTTAAGCGGTCTTTACTTAGGCGGTTTCCACTGTATATACATAAGTATCCTTATATTGTAGTCAGACATTCAAATTAAATCCCCTAAAGCTCAATGCCTCACCAACCTCAATAAACTACTACAGGCACAACAGCTAAACGACATACAACATACACCTCCCATTACAAGCTACATTCACGCCATACCCCCACCCACCACAGACACCACCCTAGACAACATTCTCCAGCAGTTACCCAAAACACCAACAAACCCACCATAACAAACATCACAAACAACTATATCAACAATAACTACCCAACACACACCCATATATATACAGATGCCTCAATCAACCCAAACAAAACAACTGGTATAGGCATACATGTCCAACAACACCCACCCCCATTACAACCAACTTGCACTATACAAACCACACCTCAATACATACAGCAGAACTAACAGCCATCCTCACTGCACTCAACCTAATACCTACCCTCCCACAAACTAACTTCCTAATTTCTACGACTCACTAAACTCCATTAGGCAAATACATAACAAGTACTCCAAATCTCGCCCTGATCTCATTCATAATATCACAATCCAAACCGACTCACTTAAACGAGCTAATAAAAACATAACTTTCACCTGGATACCAGGCCATTCAAACATATTAGGAAACGACACAGCAGATACAGCAGCCATATTATCAACAACACACAAATCACCAAATATAAACTTTCATACATCCAAAACAGAAACTAAACAACTCATTAAATCAAATATTCTTCATACTGACTTTCAACACACACATAAACAACAACAAATCAACATGGGTCACCTCCATTATAAAATCACCCTTAAGGAAAATCCCTACATTCTCAAACATTAAAAATATTGACACGGCCATAAACAGACTCATCACAGGCATCACAAACCTCAACTACACACTTTACAAACAAAATAGACATGCAGATGGACTATGCACACTGTAATACCCAAGAAGACATAAATCACATACTCATACACTGCCAGCTACAAAAGACAAACATTAAGCAACTACAAAACAGCATTCCCTCTAAATATCACAATAACATCCCACTACTCCTCAACCCACACAACCCAACAAGTATCTTCAACGCCCTAACATTATTTCTACAAAACTCAAACCTTCTAAAAAGAATCTAGAACTCATTAAATAAGCTACAGCCACCTCTCTCACCTCCCACTCACTGCAACATTCAGGCCAGCCGTTCAAACCTCAGTTATCCATTCTGCCCCCCTACAACTTTAGACACGGCTCTCAATTTCATTTATCCATACTCTGCACACGCCACGCTCGCTCTCCCCTCTCGCTAATGTAAACAACCCGTCACAAGCCCATACTGCCAAGGTCAAGGTCACTCGCCAGCCAGCTCACTACCACCGCTTGTCTCTCAACCCGGCCTATGCCTCATTGCGCCTCCCTTGCTCCCCTCAGCCCCCCCTCTCCCCGTCCAACTTAACACCTTTTTTTCATTCTTTATATAGCCCCTTATATAACTTATGCAGCTTAACTGCATTTATATATCTGCCCCCTATGCTATACATGTTCAGTATTCACACCACCCCCCAAGCTACAGCCCCCATTCCCTAGGCCCCCTTTATGTCACCTATCGTTTATTTCAACTCTATCTCTTACTTATTAACAATCACTGTTCCTATTTATCCCTCCTTTCTCCTTATTTTAACTTGGCTTTTTATTATTTTTATCTCTATATGTTTATAAACGTTTTTATTCCAAATTCAACTTAGGTTTAACGCCCCAGCATTTATATTTTTTGGGTAAAGTGGTTTATCCCTTATTAACATTTATTACTTATTACATTAGCTCCCACCTACCCCGTCGGCGAAATTGGCCATTACGCCAGAAGCCGACGTTAAACATTTAATTTCGTCGTCGTAGTCAGATTTCATTCCAATACATCCACATATATCCCAGTGAGTAATACATCTTATCTCTCATCAATACATTCCTTCACAAGTCAGACAAGACACTGTACATGTGACATTTTATTAATCAAAATACAGCTTTAATCCACTACAATATACATGTTGCAATACAGTGATGTTAAACAGGGCCCTTTCTGATGAGACAGTGTCAGTATATGGTGAAGTAAATGACTATGCTTTGTACGTTTACCGTTTACTGTGACGACTCTCGAAATCAGATCAGTTTCAGCTCAGGTAGGATTTGAATTTGTGAATCTATTGTTGAAATAAACATGTATTATAAAATATGGCCATTGTCACGGGTTTTATATATTCCATTCAAACAGAGAGTTATCTGTCAGTTACTTGGTTTATGTTTAGAATTGTCATTTACATCTCGCAGAAGGTGTATGGGTAGGTGTGCAGTTGCGTCCCTTGGACACGCCTAAAAGCTTTGGTTGTTGGTTCGAATCTCTTTACCCCCGGTTGTATGTCTAAGCTTTGCCCCTACTTGTCGTAAGAGGCGACTAACGGGATCGGGTGGTCAGGCTCGCTGACTTGGTTGACACATTCATTGTATCCCAATTGCGTAGATCGATGCTCATGCTGTTGGTCACTGGATTGTCTGGTCCAGGCTCGATTATTTACAGACCGCCGCCATATAGCTGGAATGTTGCTGAGTGCGGCATAAAACTAAACTCACTCATTCACACAATGTCATTTAGAGAGTGGTCAAATGTAATATGTTAGATTTGGGATTACACTTTCTTAGTAAAGTACAGATTCTAGTACATCTTTTTTACAAAAGTACTATAATCTGTACTTTACTAAGAAAGTGTAATCCTAAATATAACATATGTTTCACTCACCACTACTAGCTTTTTCAGCACAATACCAACGCTCGTGGGTTTCACAAAAATGGTAAATGTCTGAGGCCTGTCACACTCATTCAAAATCAAAGTAACAAATTGACATAAAAGGACAATTGTAAACCAAAGTCACTGTGTTCTTTAATCTGATTGGTTGATAAACATGATCAAATGGTATTCGATTCGGAAATTCGCTGCGTATTAAATAGAGAATACTACACGAGGTGTCATTACATACGAATTATACGAAACGAGTGTCCTTCCTTTGGTATCTGACCGAGCGAAAGCGAGGTCAGATAACATAGGAAGGTCACGAGTTTCGTATAATCCGTATGTAATGAGACCGAATGTGGTATTTTATTTATTACCCACGTCTTACATGCATTAAGTTGACAAAATAGCGTATTTTTGTTATTTTTGGTATAAACCGAAACCGGTTTCATAAAGCGGTTGCGGGAAGAGTTTTGTACTGTAGTACAATATTTGCATGACGTCACAGTGTAATGACGTCACTGCCTTGGTAACCGACGTCACGATGCATGTCAGTTGTCATCGCCTCGTACAGCCTCCTACAGTAAATTACTCCGTAGCACCCTGTTTCTTTGTTTCCAGTTGCTTCATTCGGCTAACATCACTGGTGGAAACATTGCGTTTATGTTTTTCGACGGATATAATGTCTCAGTTCGACTCACAATTAAACAGCGACACGGCAACGTTCGCAATGTTTACATTCCCACAATGCATTTAGTTGTAGAATGAATGAATTCACGTGTTTGTTATGAATGAAAAAATAGTTACGTCAGAATGTGACCTAATTGAGAGGTCATCGGTTATCCAATCAAATCGTTAGAATCTCAGGTCAAGTCGTTACGACACAGGTCAACGCGATACGACACTCGTGTGACGTACGAGATTAGTATGCAACTACCCATACGTTGACCACGTGGGTAATAATAATACATACAAACATCGCTCACACCATTGTATTGTTACGTCGTCAGCTGAGATGACGTCATTCAAATCATATTGTGACGTAAAGTCCGAATGACGTCACAAATGAGCAGTTCCAGATGCTACCATGGGAGACAGCCGAAACGGCCGGTTGATGACATTTCACTGCTGTACCGATACTCGATGTCAATGAGTGCAGACACAAAAACGTGTGTGGACCTTTTGGTTTACTTTTATGTTTACAATGTCGATAAACATCATGTGTTGTCCAATTTCCGGGTGTTATTGAGTATTTGAAGCGGGGGAATTCATTTGGAACCGACGGCTGACAAAATGAATTCCCCTGCTTCAAACTCTCAATAACACCAAATGTACCAACACCGTCGGTTCAAATGAATTCCCCTGCTTCAAATACTCAATAACACCCGGAAATTGGCCAACACATGATATTTATCTCCTAATTGGCAAATGGCGGAGAATGATCACTTTATATATTTCAGCACCACGTAACATGATTATACCCTCAATTGTACACTTATGGAAGTGGATGCCAGAGACTACTCTTGGTCTAATTGGGAGCCAATGCAAGCCAAGGCTACTAACAAAACCACACTACCTACAGCCTTGCAACTTGCTGATCATGAGGTTAATCTCCCAAGGGCAAAACCAGGAATCTTTTTACCAATGATGGTTAAATGATGTTTAGCTACCAGGAAACAAATATCAAAAACAAAAATAATCTAACCTAATCCCAGGGGCGACATATTCAATCAAACATTGTATAATCTTTACGGTATATAATGCTAAAATCTTATTTCTACTTGTCAAATTATCAACTTAAATTTACTAATAGAAAGGGATCGATACTAAAATGGAAATATTCGCTCAAAGGAAATATTTTTACAGGCGAAGACATAGGAAGGATAATATACTACTCACACTTAGCTGAGGATCACAAAAATTTACAACTTTACTTAAACGTAGATTCATAATTTAAAATTGTATCCATTTAAAACTGGATAAATTATAATATGGTAACCCCTCTTTATGCAAACAGCCACTTTAATCTAACCTCATGCACTTGAGACATGAGTAACCATAAACATGGTTTTCATGACACCAATCAACCATTCTGCAAATCATGGAACGAGTCATTGACAAGTACACACAACACCTGTCAGTAGCAGGTATGGGATCCACAAGATGAAATGACACACTGAAACCTAGGATCCATGCTTACAATAAGCTTAGATATTTAAACCAAATTTGACTCAACATGATAGTTTTCTGTTGAATCCCTAATTTGATCCTTAGCAAAAGTGTGAATAGTATATATGGATGAATAACTTCTTTATTGCTCTCACTGCAGTAAAGAAGTTGTTAATCGATATTATACTATTATCCTTCCTCAATGCTCCAACTTCTAAATGCCCCTCAAAGAAGTGATTAAGATATATGTCGTTGAACCCATTGTTTTCTAAAATAATATAAAGAACACTTCATCTCGTCAATTACATACAAAATACATGATCAAACGTTGGACTAACACAAGAAATCAAAGCAATTCAGGTAATATTAGTTCATAAATATACAAAAATGACAAAACAAAATTGCAATATATCTCTGATAATGAACGTTCTCCGGTACATAATCATGCGTACAAGTACGCACTTAAAAACGATTTATCAAAAAAATTAAAATAAGAAAATATATAAAACACATTTATGTCTCTCTTCCTTTCTACCTGTATTTCATATACTCTCGTCAGATCATTCAGGTCATATATACAAGTCATGTAAACATCATATCATTTTGCTGTCTTTGGAAATCTAAAAGCACCATACATAGCATTCCTACATGGCCCATGAAAAATGTGGAAATGATTGGGCACACAGTCAAATATATAAATGATGTTTAAAAATCTATCAAAATAAGATGTACATTGAGTGTGAGAAGAAGGTATACCAAAGCTGTTTTTCATGTAAATATAAAATTCATAGAACTTGGTGAAGCGAAAGGAGGTATACTTTCTTTGGTTTCCCTTTGTTTACTGACATCACATTGGAGAACGGAAAGTCATGCTCGACAATCAGCGTCAAGCTGGCAAGATTCTAAAGGGTACAAGGGTACACTGAAGTATATACAGAACATATTGATGCACAAATAGTAGAGGACCAAACATACATCTTTAATATGATTCCCGAAGCAGCAGGAGTACATAAAGATTAAAAGGTCAATGTTTTGCAAAAAAAATAGTATCCACAACATAAATATCTGCCTTGTATTATCCCTTAATGCCGAGCGCAAAGCAGGGTAATAACAAGTGCACCCCTTAACGATCTGCCGGTCTTCCATCCTCCGGACAAACGCTCTATTCACCAGAGTGAATTAGTGAGTTTAGTTTTACGCCACTTTTAGCAATATTCCAGCAATATCACGGCTGGGTACACATGAAATGGGCTTCACACATTGTACCCATTTGGGGAATCGAACTCGGGTCTTCAGCGAACGCTTTAACCACTAGGCTACCCCACTGCCCTCTCTTCGCTAGACCTGGTGTGAAGCAGATATATATGATGTACATATGATGAGTAGTTTCTGTGCAGCTGTGTCACTTTCAAACACTTGCATATTTGATATTCTCGTCCACTGAGTCGGCAATCAAAGCTAACTCACATTCCCGGAGGACATTCTTCAGTTCTGCAATGGTAGCATCTTTAGATTTACGCATTTTCCAAAGCAGCAAAGCCTCCAAAGCCTGTTCATGGAGGCTTTGATTGTGTTTGTATTCCAAATTGTCAATGTCATTTTGATTCAACCTAAGTGCCAGAGCTACGCGCTTCCATTCGTGTCCAAGTTGTCGTGAAACCTCTTCCAGCAAACAGTCTGGTATTGCTGATGGAAAACAACAACTGATTAGTGTAAGATAGTAAATACGGTAATACTAAAATACTCATAAAAAGTAATAAAAACATTTATAAAAGTAATAAAAAAGATATGTTTGTTTATTGTTTACTGCAAATACTTTGGCTATGCATGTAACGTTGTCATATAGCTGGAAATATTACCGAGTGCGGCGTTAAACAACAAAACAAAATAAAACGACAAGAAGACAAAGTCATCAATATCCCCCGCAATGGCAAAATACTCTTCATGAATATGTCTACGAGTTATGATTATGTCAAATGTTTTGGTGTGTATATAGCTAAGTGGAAGGAGAGTACTGAAAGGTTTCAAAGTTCTGCTCCAGAAAGGAGCACTACCACCAAATTCAGTTGAAGCCAAAATTGTTGCCATGGAAACGCAAACAAAAACCCCATTTTATTCAGAAATCCAAAACTAGCAAAAGGCACCAGTTCACCACTAGACCTACCTATGTATGAAATTTCGTGATGAAACAGTGAACAGTTTTTAAGTTCTGCTCCAGAAAAGAGCACTACCACCAATTTCAGTCAAAGTGAAACTTGTTGCCATGGAAACGCCAAAAATATTTTATTCAGAAATCCAAAACTACCAAAAGGCACCAGTTCACCACCAGATCTATCTATGTGCCAAGTTTGGTGAAGAAACATTGAACGGTTTTAGAGTTCTGCTCCGGAAAAGATTTTCAGTCAAAGTGAAACTTGTTGCCATGGAAACGCCCAAAACACTTTATTCAGAAATCCAAAACTACCAAAAGGCACCAGTACCCCACCAGACCTATCTATGTACCACGATTGGTGAAGAAATAGTGAACGGTTTTAAAGTTCTGCTCCAGAAAAGAACACTACCACCAATTTTAGTCTGTCAAACTTGTTGCCATGGAAATGCAAAATAAAATTATTCAGTAATCCAAAACCACCAAAAGGCACCAGTAAACGACCAGATCTATCTATGTGCCAAGTTTGGTGAAGAAACATTGCACGGTTTTGGAGTTATGCTCCGGAAAAAAGACAAATGTGCACGGACAGACGGACGGACGGACGCACGCACGCACGGACGGAGTCCATTTTAATAACCCCGATAAAACACGATATAAAGAACTGATGATATGAGATATTCGCGAATGGTTGAGTTTATCCTACACTTCCGGGTAACCGTTTACATTCCTCACATTTCTGTTTAAGGTATAGTCTGTTTGCAGTGAAAACGTACCGATGAATTTCACTTTAAACAACAAGAGTCATCAGAAGATGACATATCCCCCCGGCCCCCACATATTTGAAAGAACAAATCATCTGACAGTTACTTAAAGTCCAGCTTGACTTTTTTTTAAACTAAGTCCAAATCATTTCAATGGAAATCATGAGAAATATAAATGCCAAAAATCTGTAAATAGCAAAAGGCACCATTTCAACATTTGCCTAATATATCTGCCAAGTTCTGTTGAAAGATACTGAACGCTTTTCGAGTTGTGCACCGGAAATGAAGCCCACCCCTCCCTTTTGGGACTAAGTCCGAATCGTTTCCATGGAAACCAAGAAAATAATAAATCACAAAACCTGCAAATAGCAAAAGGCACCACTTTGGGATCTGCCTCACATATCTGCCAAGTTTTGCTGAAAGATATTAAGAAGTTTTCCAGTTGTGCTCCGGAAACGAAACCCACCCCTCCCTTTTGGGACTAAGTCCGAATCGTTTCCATGAAAACAAAAAAAAATATAAATGCCAAAATCTGTAAATAGCAAAAGGCACCACTTCAAGATCTGTCTCATATATCTTCCAAGTTTGCTGAAAGATATTAAGAAGTTTTCCAGTTGTGCTCCGGAAACGAAACCCACCGAAGTCCGAATCGTTTCCATGGAAACCAGAAAAATAAAAATGCCAAAAATCTGCAAATAGCATAAGGCACCACCTAAGGTTCTGTTTGATATATCTACCAAGTTTTGTTGAACAGTATTGAACGGTTCTTGAGTTATGCCTGGAAACGAAGCCCGCCCCTCCCTTTTGGGGCTAAGTCCGAATCGTTTCCATGTAAACCTGGGAAAGGAAGAAATGCCAAAATCTGCAAATAGCAAAAGGCACCACTTAAGGATCTGTTTGATATATATCTACGAATTTGGGTTGAAAAATATTTAAAGGTTTTGGAGTTATGCTCTGGAAACAAAATGATTACGGACGGACAAAGGGACGAGGCGACGACTAAATCCCCCTGCATTACATGCCGAGGGATAAAAAGTAAATCAAATAAAGTGAAAAATTAAGATTGCGAATCCTCATCATTTGACTTTGCCAACTGAACATTTAAATCTATGAATTTTATTCAACTTAGGATAAAAGTTGATTAACAAACGATCATAGTTTCAAATCGCTCTTATTGGTTTGTATTACAAGGGGTATGCACATTAAAATGAAACACCGAGAACATGTAGGGTTGGTCTAAGTTAACGCTCATCACGAACCGCACGTGCATTTGTTTTACTATTCCAACTACTGCGCTTACCCCTTGTAATACAACCAATAATGGTGACTTGGAAACTATGATCGTTTGTTAAAACAACTTTTATCCTAAGTTATATATACTTCTGAGATTTAAATGTTCAATTTGCAAGGTCAAATTATGAGGATTCGCAATCTTAATTTCACCTATTTGAATTACGTTATTGTTTAAAGTTGAAATTCATCGGTACGTTTTCAATGCAAACAGACTATAATTTGCAATTTCCTATAAGCAAATTAAGTAAACTTACTGTGATATCAGCCACCTATTCTGGTATTGTAAACATGTCAACTTTTTATGGACTGATATTCAACACTGGATAAATAGTGTCGCAGAAACCAGAATATCTTTCAAAAAGAAAATGTTATTTTGGGATATCCTACTAAAAACAATGACCCTTTAAATGCTATAATTCTGGTGATAAAAGATCTCATTTTTAATCGTATTTCAAACGAAGACAATTGAGACTTGAAGTTGTCCAGCAAGAGTTGACAAACTACTATAATATTACTAAGCAATAGCATATTCAACTTGTGGTTACAATAAGTTTTTTAAGTTTTGGTCCAGTTGTCACCGATTATTTGGCTTGTACCGGTTGTGAATGATGTAACACTCATTTCTTATGCCAGTTCAACTTGTCATATACATTGTTTAAGTCAATTGTATTCTAATCATTGATGTGTAATGCGTCTATGGATGTATGATATGATGTACAGAAAAAGTGGAATAATTAAAAAAAAAAAAATTAAGTAAACTCATGACTCAAAATTAGACAATAATGAGATCCGTATGTGATATGTATTCATTTTGTTGAAAGAAAATATACGTATTTGAAATGTAATCTGACCGGACACTTGACATAGATACAAGAATCTGTATCGAAAGGTAGCATCACCTGAATAGAGACGTTTTTCATCCATAAAGTTTGCCCTTATCTGACTCTCCAACTTCTAAAAATGCCACCAAAAAGAATGATCTTACCGCTACTAGGAAACTGTAGACTTGGCGACCTGTGAATGCGGTGTTCGGGAGAAACAGCCATCATGCTCTCCGAAGATTGGACACTCGGTGATCGAGCAATACAAGCAAATTCATTTCCAGCATCTCCTTTAGGAACATCAAACACCGACTGTTCACGAATGATAAATCGCTGAGGGTTTTCTCTCAGTTCTTTGGAATATCTGTACATCTTGTAATGGCCTGTTTCTGGGGTCTGAATAGTGCTCAAATACACCTGGATGTTGAAATGACATCCTGTTTGGAATTGTTCTTTGCGGAGACGTGTTAGCATGTGCAGATAGTGAAACTATTCCTTGCATAAGTGACTCAGAGCTGGAGTTGGACGTTGATGGCCCTGGACCCAGACTGTATGGTACACAGGTCAACTTCATTTTGGGGACAAGGGTCATGTTGAGAGTGGTCTTCTGGTTTCTGGTGGCATCCTCACCATGATGCCACCACGAATCTCCTGAACTGGGTCAATGCTTTCTGTTAGAGATATTTCAATCACATCACTGCGAATGGAATCCGGTGCTGAATCAAGGAGAAATGGATATGAATTACAGTTTCTACTGAAATTCTGAGTCTGTCAGCGAATAAAATAAACCTATAGAGCATTTTACTCTAACATTGTAGAACCACGAGTCTGATATGCCCACCATTGGTATCGAAACTAAATTAGACCAAAACAGCATTACAAAGAGCGAAAATATTCATTTGAAAGCATCTGTTTCAAATCCCGTTGACTTGAATCATTCTTACAGGATGAATATCACAGACAGTGTTTTTAAATGTGACTTTAACGTAGATTCAATTATTCCAGAAGGAACAAAATATTAATTTTAACATTTCATACTGAATTTGATAACTCTCTAATATCTGTGCTAATAAGCCAGGAAAGTGGAGTATTTCTTCCAATTTGACCCAGAGATAATACAACACCAGAAAACTGACAACTAGTCAGAAGCAAGTTGTGAATGTGCCCCCACACAAGCATGGGTATATATTGTTCTGGCTCAGTATGTAAACTTTGGCAGAGTGGTTGATTTCGATATGAATTCTTCATACTATTTTAATCTCAGTGTGAAATCAATCAAGCCGTACCCTAAAGAGTGTACTTAAAGAAATATCAAGTAATTGAATCGGGGCTATTCAAAAGTGATATTTTAACATTCCCCTCTTTCGGACTACCCAAAAGATGTGGATTACATGGCGAATCTATGTAGTACTGTCCTTTGGGGGTTTCCTGAAAAAGCTTGCCCCACGCCATGGAAAGTATACTGCATATAAACCATTATCTCCGTGATACAACGATGCCATAAAACAGGAGAAACCTTGATTATAAAGATACAAGCCAAAAGCTCTGATCTGGATCTGACTCCAACAATGCTCCTTATGATCATATACTGAGCCTTGCTGCCATTTATTAGCAGTCACACGGCAATCTGGTAAAGTGCCAAGATCGTTTAAAAATGCCATAGCTAGGTCCCATGTTTACGAGGGACTTGATAGGAGCAGACTGAATAACTATAGGCCTGTATTAATTTTACCTTTTCCTATCGAAGTTACTTCAGAACATCTGACCAGAAAGGGCTTTACATGAGGAATACCTTTCTGTCTGATAGATACCAGAGTATAGATGTCATCTTTTCATTATCACCTGGTGGTAGATGTACCACAAGGTTCAATTGACCAATCTTGTTAACAATATACCCAAGATCACGTGGTCCTGTCACTACAAAATTGTCCAGAGACGGCCAGAGTTTCACATGTACCAGCTCAGTTGTGTTTGGAGATAAAGTGGAGGAATGTTATATTGGCATCATGCCATCTCACATGCTTAAAATAAAATAAGAAAATACAGGATTTATTGTGCTTGATCGTGAAAGAAAGACTCAGAGCTGCACAGGTTTCAAAACTCTAACCATTTTCGCTTCCAACAATTGTTGCATCTGACAAAATCTGTGTGACACTGATGCTATCTCTCGACATCTGTCATATTGACTATTGTAACAGCCTCCCTCCTTATGTTAAGAGAACAAATTAAAGGACCTCAAGCAATTTTAAAATACGCGGCCAGGATTATATTTTGATCGTCAAAACTCACTAATACATCACTACTTCTAAGACAACTCCATCGGCTGCCAAATGATTCACGTGTGGACTTCAAGATCCTCCGCATGGATTACAAATGATACAACCATCTTGCACCTCAGAGAACTCCTACCAGTCTATTGTCCTCACAGAGCCTCCGCTCATAAGATCTCTTCTCTGTTCACATATTTAAATGTTCTACTTTGTGTGTGTGTGTGTGTGTGTGTGTGTGTGTGTGTGTCTGAATATTTTTGTCTTCATAGCTGCATCTAAATGGAACTTTATCCTTGATATTATCAAAACAGCTACCTCTGTCTCTTCTCTTTAAAATCACAACTACAGACTCACTTGTTTAGTCAATTATACAAATCCGCTAGTGCATAGAGTACATTATCACTGTGATTTGCTGCGCTCTACATATACTTGTATTATCGATTTATCATTATGAATTGGAGGGGCGGATACATATTTTGTGCAGGTACAGTCTTCCTGTAAACAACAAACAGTTTAGTTGAAGTATTTCTGATATTCAACAGATTCCAATGAGATTCACTGACACAAAATATCATACATAGTTTACTTAAACTGTCTTTTCCCATTTTATCACATTTACACAGTTCTACTTGGCAGAAAAAGTTTGAACATCAATTTTGATACACGTACTGTATTTTCGGATATGTTTAGCCATAATCATAACCAACATTTGAAGCAACCTACCATAAAATAAGAACTTTCCGGCTTCCACTGCAAGAGTTTTTAGAAAGGTTCCATCTTCCTTGGCAATGTACACTTTCATTATTCCTTTTCTCACTGATTCAGCTATCTGAGCCACTCTGGGGATGAGCACAGTGCTTCCTGATTCGAGACCACTTTCTTCCAACGTTTCATTGTCCTCAAGACATCTGCTTTTATGAATGATATTTATCTTTGAAGCGTGACTTCCAAATTGATCAGCAAGGAACAGCTTAACTTTTCCAACAGTAGACTGCTTGCAATTTACTGTCAGGTGTAATCTTTCTCTTCCAGGTTGACGGACGCTGAGGTACACTGGCTCTTGGAAGACATTAACATGAATTGTGTCCTCACCTCTGACATGATAATCTTGCATCAGATATGCATTATGCATTTCTTTTCCTTCAAAAACATCTGCAGCTGGAATACTGCTACAGAGAGATGATCCTGTATCATCTCTTTCAGGTGTTGAACAGTGTCAAGTTTGAACAGATTTACAACAAAGCCGTTTACTTGCCCACCTTCTTTAAGTTTCATGAATACGCATCTTCTTTGTGACCTTTGCAGTCACTACACATTTGTGTCGAAAGCCCATTGTTTCTGACAATGTCACCTCCTTCAGCCTTTTGTTCTTGATGAACAGACGAAGTGCATTTGGGGCATACTCTGCCAGTGAAGATATTTCCTCCTCGAAGTGCTGCTGTTGTTATGGGAGATGAAACAAGTAGGATCTTAGGCGTGTGTTCTACTCCAGAACCTTCAAATTTCACGGTAATCGGAAATGAGCCCACTGGCTTCAACATGAACAGCCAGCCTTCCTCTTTCCTGCATTTGCGTTCTCTTCTGTTGATCAATACAGTAATATTCATCTTCCTTTGCTAGTTGCTTGCCAACTGAAAACCACACATCATCAATGCGAGATTTAAGACCTGGAAATTCTTGCCCAAACTGTTTTGAACACGTGTTTCATTTCACCAAAACTCCTTGTTTGAGAACACTTCATGGTATACTTGTTTAGAATATTCAGTTTTGGTGAATGAAAGCATTCAATGGCTTCATTTGATGAAACAAAACACGACACATAATCTCCATTTTAAACAGGGAACCAATCGTCAATGAATCATCGTCAAGGCGCTTTCCTTTATAAAACAACGAAGCCGGTTTGCCATTGTAAAAACGCTTATTTCCCCGAACGATGGATTTCAAGGTTTGTATAGAGGCGTCAGGGTGCAAAACTAACACAACCATCATTGAGCCTTGTAAATTGCAAATGAACGTACCTCGAAGTCACGGGGAAGTTGATGAAAATAACAAGATGGTCAGGATTATCATGAATTACCATTTTTCTCTTTCTGGGCAGATATAGATACATTCTTCACTCACACCAAATGATTTTGCAAACAGTTTCTTAGGGCTTAAGTGGGGAGAATGGAAGTTCTGTTTGATTAATTTGCTGAATATGACCGAGCTCTTCCCGCGAAGGTCGAAAACAGATAGGCCGGAAATCGATCTGATCCCTCTCCAAAAATGATGCTGACACCTGCAGGTCTTCATTGTCGTCACTTTCCCATTCCCTCATCATTTTCTCTTGTAATCGATCACTCTTGAAATTCAACCTGCTGAAAAAGGTTTGAAATGAACATGAAAGGCACTTGGCCGAGTTTCAAAAAGGATTGTTGGCGTCAATTGAAAATGTCTACAAGAAGATGTTGGCATTTCCAGATAGAATGCCTGCCGTGTGATTCCTTTACTCTACTAAAATGATTTAAGGTGTTCATATAGATATGTTCTGTATGTAGTGTTTGATGTATTCAATTTGATTTAAGCCTATTTATTTCCAAAGAAAGGAACTGGACTGGTCAACAAGCATAAGCTTATATGAATACCGCTTTGATGTATTCAGTCGTATCTAGTAACTGGGACAGGCGATCTGGAATAACATCTTTTACATGGTTCGAGATAATGCATCAGTAGTCCATAGCGTCAGAGCATATGTGTAATGTAACAGAAATATTTGTACGTCCGCAAATTCTTATTTGAATTTTATCTCGTGGTAAATCCGAAACATTTGTTTCATTAAAGATGATATCAATATGGCACCTAATGTATGATAGATTGTGTGTGTGTGTGTGTGGGGGCCCATCAGTTGAATGACAGGAAGCCAGTGAGATAGTATTACAGATTGAGATGTACAGAGATTAAGTGTTACCTCCAATAAAGACGAATTCACCTGAAATTACATTGACAGAATCATATTTCAGTTACATGAAACTTTGCTTGCTAGTCTTAATTGAAACTTATATCCCTGATACACTAAACTTCTACCACCTCAACGACATGGAATTAACCGAACGTTTACCAAAGTGTTTGCCATCATGGGTAGGTAAAGGACTAATATACCTTACATTAAAACAACACTGTGAATTATTGCTGTTCTCCACACATGCATGTAATAACTGAACAAAACTCATCCCTTCTCTACTCATGTACTGCTGTGAACTGAACAGAACCTTATTCACTCAGGTTGCAAACTGCAGCATTAGAGGTACATACATAATATTTTACATTTATACAACATAATAAATATATACAAACGGTATGATAGGGTGCAAACGTACATCGAGCTAGTCACATATTAAGTTATTGAAATTATTTCTCAGATAAAGCCATAATTATTTTACAAGAATTGAAAGTTTTCTTAAAGTTCCGAGCTCTTGGTGTTAAATAGGATATTCATTTTATACATACTTCTAGTCTATTATAATAATACTCTGGATATATTTTTCTCTTCTACTCTATTCGATATATAAATAAATAATGAAATTCGTCACCAATATCACTTAGGTTACATAGTACACTTTCTATCAACACATCGAACAAACAAATCCTGTCGACTATCCCTTTATAATCCTCTTTAATCCCAAATAAACAATTTGCCCGACTGGGAAAAGAGGATACCACAATTAATAACATATACGCACGTTATCCTATTCTCGTTGTGAGTCAATGCCATATCATATGATACATCATTTGGCACATTAAAAGATTTGCAAACACTACAATTTGGAATTGATTTATTAAGGTAGCTAGAGGCATGTAACTTTTGAAACTCTGTACTGCACTGGTTGTATGTTTCTACTTTTCACTGCTTTTAGTTTAGTATGTACTGCAAACTAGGGTTGTGCAATATTACCGGTATATACCGGAAGCATCTCGCGATACGAATAGGGGAAGAATTTTTATTTTGTGTTTCTCATCGCCCGACTGACCCGAATTTTATTGCTGACCAAAAATAAAATAAAATATTTGCATTCCAACACCGCCGACTCGAACCTAGAACATACTGACTCATCATGTAAAAAAAAATCAGAGTTATGACCCTTGACAACAGACCAACCATGATGTCTGATACTCGCATAGCCTTTTAAAGTGGGAGTATGGTCATCTTAATTTTGATAACCTTTTAAAAGTTATGAACTCATTCAAGCACAATATATTTGTGTTAGATACACTGATCTCTAATACAGTCGAGCACCGTTTTGTTGATCTTTGATAACTCGATGTCTCTGGTTGTCTCTCGATATAACATCTCGGTCCTGGCAAAATCCTTGATAATTTATCATTATTCAAGCTCTTTTAACTCGATACGGATGTCTAAATATTGGACACAGGTATTATACCAAAAAGGATAATGGAACATTTTAGCACACATACCGTTATCAATATTAATTAGCAGAAGTTGGTAGACAATGCTGAGCCCATAATGTAAAACAAGTTTTAAATAAATATGGTTTTAGTTATGTGTGGCACAATCAGGATGAAAGTTGTATAAATAAGTTCTTATTTGATTTGAAACAAACGTATATATCAATAGATCAACAGACATGGTTTGAATTAATATGTTCTGTTCGTACCATTTCTGCTTAATATGTCCTTTCTGTTGGTCAGATTTGAGAAATGGTTACCTGAATATTATATTGTAAATCCAACATATCCTACATTTTACCAGCTATTAGCATCCCAAAGCCCAGATGTTATTAATTAACTAGCAAAATATGTATTTCTTGTCATGAAAAACGGAAATAATCAGTTGCAATTGTAAAGAAGAATATGCATGGCACCCTCTATACATGGTGCATATACAAAATGTGCCATAAAGTGCCAAATATACTTATATTTTTGTTGCTTTCATGTAACATGTTACAAGTAGGAGTATCTTTATAAGTGGCTCCAAAAGTGCCAAATATTCTACCAAATGCTTTAAGTTTTGTGGGTTTGAATGGTTTCATATGTGAGGAATTAAGTGGCCTCAAATGGACCATTTTTAGTTTGCACTTCTTATTAGAGCCTCTGGCTCTGAGTGACAATTTCACAATTCACATTAGTCTGTTATTTTTGTTTTTTCATAATGGGACATATGTTATTAATTTATCATAAAGACCTAAGTCTTATAAATTTTAGGAAAGTATTTGCTATATTACACGGAATCAGCCTATTAACAATATAAAATTTAAATATTCATATTAATTAACAGTCTTTCCACCAAACCATACATGCACTATTATTAATTTTGGCGATAAGGCAAATATTTAAATAAACAAATACAATACCTCCTTTCATAATCTGATGAAAACCTAAAGTTTCGGTCCTGGTGCACAGCACAATTGACTATATTTAATTCAGATTCACCTTCTATATTGCAATGTGTCTTATGGTAACATTTGTCACAAGTTAATTTGTAAGTTAGATCGTATCCCACGTGGCTGTTAATACGTGAGACTTTCTGCACAGGACGTGCGTGTCTCATACAATAATGGACAAATTTCATGACATGTTTCTAAGGTGGTTTTAAATAACGTATGTTTATCAATTACTGTATAATTTTGAACTTGAAGAAGGCAAAACGATAAAAGTGCATTGCGTTTATATGTACAGTCCGTTTGAGTCAGAAACGGGCCGATGAATTGCAAATTTGTTCATTGTACTAAATTGCCACATAAATATAAATAGTACACATGTTTATCATTTACTAATACCCAGCAGCTTTCTTTATATTTGAAAATTTTCCGACTCCACCAAAAAAGTTGTTTAAGAAACTATTATCATTGAAAACGCAAAAGTTGTTATCTGTCGCGGCGGGGTGAAACCGCAGAAACGGAACAGCCACTATCTCGTCGTGCACGGGATACACATGCCTGATGAAAAATGAAGTTGAATGCTGACGTGAAACAGTTGATGATTAAAGAGTACGATTTTTCCGTGCTGAAGCCGAAAGGGGCAAACCATTTTATGCCATTAATAAATTCCGTAAGCGGGCAGCAAAAGCTTTAGGAGTATCAGCAAGGGTACTGACAAATGTTCTGGAACACAAACATTGTGAGGGTGATGCGAAGCAGGTAGGGGTCGTGTCAAAATCACAAAAATTAAAACATTTGGACAACTTTCAAAAGAACCTTGTAAGGCAGTCTATCAACAAGCTTTATTCTGAAAACAAATACATGTCGCTGAAATTTTTAAAAAGCATTTGAAGCTAAGAACACAACCTCTGAGTATCAAAGTACACACCTGGCGACTCTACACACTCTTCGGGTATCGTTATAAGACAATTTCTGGGGAGAATAGGTCAGTACTCTGTGAACGCCCTGATATCGTTCGCTTGAGAAATAATTTTCAGGGGGTTATAAAGAAGAAGCGTGAGGAAGGGTTCGAGCCAGTGTACTTGGACGAGACCTGGGTCATCGCCTCGCACACCGCCAGCAGTCAGTGGGTACCCGATGGGGGAGTGATAAGGGTCACGTAGAAAGCTGCCTCTAGGGAAAGGAGAGAGACTAATCATTCTCCATGCTGGTTGCTCCAGCAAAGGCTTTCTCCCAGGCTGCGACTTTGGTATTCAGGGCAAAGTCCACAGATAACAGAGACTACCATTCCGAGATGAATGGTGCGGTTTTCCTCGATTGGGTTAAAACAAGTTGGTACCAGCTCTACCAGAGAAGTCTTTTATCGTGCATACCACAGCGTGCAGGACCCCGACAGTAAAGCCCAGACATCGAACAGTCGAAAAGGTGATATGATATCATGGCTCGACAAATTTCAGATCGCACGGCCTTCAAAGGCAATGAAGCCTCAGCTATATGAGATCATAAAACCCCACAAAGGTGAACCTTTCTACAAAGTTGACAGTTACATAAGAAGTAAGGGTCACGATATTCTGCGACTTCCACCCTATCACTGTGACCTTAACCCCATTGAAATTATATGGGGTATTGTCAAAGGAGATGTTGCCAGATCAAACACAACTTTTAGATTACGTGACGTAGAGGTTTTGGTTAAGGAAAAATCACGACTGAAACTTGGCAAAACTGTGTCAACAAGGTAGCTAACGTCATTGAACAAGGTTACTGGTCTCGGATGGCTTACAACAGGCAACTGTGGCACCACTTGTCATCCCTTTAAGTCGTGACTATGACACTACGACAGACGAGGAACCGACAGGTCTCCCGGAATAGATTTTGAGATGTCCCCGCCATGACTGGCTGTTCCGTTTCTGCGGTTTCACCCCGCCGCGACAGATAACAACTTTTGCGTTTTCAATGATGATAGTTTCTTAAACAACTTTTTGGTGGAGTCCGGAAAATTTTCAAATATAAGAAAGCTGCTGGGTATTAGTAAATGATAAACATGTGTACTATTTATATTTATGTGGCAATTTTGTACAATGAACAAATTTGTAATTCATCGGTCCGTTTCTGACTCAAACTGACTGTAGGAGTGCAGATGTAAATCAGTAATGTTGGCATATCCGCCTTCCATGTGGTCATTGGTGTTATCAGAACCGACATTAGCATGTTTAGATGTATGTAAATGTTAATTTACAATAAAGGTCGTACTGGTACAAAGAACTATACAGAAGCTGTCGTTCAACTTCTAAGTAGATCATTTATAGCTCGGTGCATATACTATATGATATAGGTCATATACAAAATGTATTTAACGTCCATAATATAAGTTATGAAAAATTGATTATTTCTGAATTCAAAAAGAATGTAGGCAGAATATATTACATACCAGTACAAGGTGGAATTTAGAAGGTGAAATCTACGTCCGATCTATACCCATTTAATAGAAACGAAAGCGAAACGAGGACATGTGTAACAAAGGGAGGTAATCTTTGCTTGTGTTTCTACCCTACAACAAATGGTGATTTAGAGGAACAGTCAGGTTCAAGTCTGTGAAGGAAAACATTGTTGTTGTTTGTTTTGTGTGTGTGTGTGTGTGGTGTGCGTGGCGCACGCGCGTGTGTGTGTCTGTCTGTCTCTCTCTCTGTATAGCGCGCGTGCGTGCGTGCGTGTGCGTCCGTGTGTGCGTCCGTGTGTGTGTGCGTCCGTGTGTGTGCGTGTGTGTGTGTGTGTGTGTGTGTGTGTGTGTGTGTGTGTGTGTGTGTGTGTGTGTGTGTGTGTGTGTGTGTGTGTGTGTGTGTGTGTGTGTGTGTGTGTCTAATCCAGACTTTACACTGCAGGATTCGCATATCTGCATGGCAATTGTTTAAAATGACAGTTTGTGAATATTTGAGGTGCTTGAACGAAAACACTGAGGACGACATTCGATACTTGTCAACACACATGCACGTATGGAATAGCACGTCCTGTACCGATCTGTTGTCGTTAATATGATTGTTGTCGCAAAAGTCACATTAAGCTGATACACTGTCACCAGTCAAAGTTTATTTCTATTCTTGTTACAATGTTGCATCGTACAGACGTTGCAGCGTTGGAAATCAAATATAGAAGCTGATGAAGAGGTTCCGCCATAACAATGTCCTAGTCTAAGCATGGAGGCCTTCTCCCAAATGTCAACACGTACTCCTGATCATGTGTCCAGATGCCAGAAGGTGGATTCTATACTACCTATCAAAAGTTTAGACTCACTAGTGTAAATGTAGCCACTTACTTCAGTCAACTGTTCAAACTAGATTTTGCAAAATATTCCATACTGTTTAAAGGTACTGTTTACATATGAACTGATGTATTGTAAAACACATTCGTAACGTTGGAAAGATTATTGTCATGAGTTCAATAAATGATGAAAGTCAGTGAATATTGGCGAATTCTTAACAAAACTTTACACCAAAACGCAGCTGTTCACATGCACGATATTTGCACATGCCTTTCAGCAATTTGATGCATGATCCTCGTGCACTTCATCCGCAGTTGGTTCCGCCAAGTTAGTGGAAACATTTATTCAATACATTCATAACATTACATGCTTTAAGTGAGTCTAAACTTTTGATGGGTAGTATATTTAAAACTACAAAAGTTCAGACAGCAACCTGGGTTTGAGCTTACTAACCTCTGTATTGATGAATGCTTAACTTGACGGAGCAAAGTGAATATTCCGTTATAACAAAGAGACTTGGACAGGCATGTTGATATTTTTAAAATATAACAATTAACTCATACTTTAATTAAATTAAGATGCTAAACTGAGAGCTCCGCACGTACAGTGATTTACATTCGGACATCATTCCAGGTATGGCCTTCCCCTGGGGTCAGTGTTTTGGAAGTTAGAATCTTCCGGACAATGTTAACTGTAGGGCTGGATATTGCCCTGAATCTCATATTGCGATATATTGCAATAATTTAAGAGATATTGCTATATATTGTGATATATTGAATGGAGGGTTTCTGCCCAAGTGCGTACATCATAAATTCATAATAGCTCTGTGTGTCTGCGACATTATCTGCTTAGCTGCTGTTACACCATACTTTCAGCTTCCCAGTCCTCATTGTGCATGGCTGTATGCCATTACAGATAAATGAAATGATATGGAACCTTAATGTGGAATGTTTAATTAAGGTATTGCAACAAAGTTTGATTTTGTACATGACATGGGGTGGGGGTGGGGAGGAGACAGGGGCAGGTGTTCACTTATTTTGTACATAATTTATTTTTTTTAAATTGGGGAGAGGGAGGGGGTAATTCACATTGTACATGCTTCTTCATAAAAATCATCATCACCCCTCCAAGCCATAAATTATGAGCGGTCCTTAATTCCTCCAAAATGTCACATATGAAACCATTCAAACCCATACAACGTAACGCATTTTCTAGAATATTTGGCACTTTGGAGCCACTTATAAAGATACTCCCACTTGTAAAATGTTACATGTAACCAACAAAAATAAATGTATATTTGGCACGTTTAGAGCACCTTTTGCTTGGAAATCAAGGGCAGATAATGCAAAGGAGCTAACTCTGGATGACCCAATATATTGCAGAATCTGAACCATTTCGCGATAATCGTTAATTGTAACGTAGTGACGGCTGCGCAGGTCGGCTTGCACAGTCAGCGAATGTCGCCTTTACACACACTTTGATTTCACGACGAGAAGGAATAAAGAACATCTAAGCAACATTTTACTTAACATTCTGACCAAATTCTGTTCGGTTCTGCTAACAATCGGAGGCGTAGCTACCATTATTAAATAAGCCCGTGCTTACTCATGATTGTTGCTAAAAAGAATTTGGCAAATCACTCAGTACTATTCTCTTAATATAAAGCTTTGCAAACGTAATGGACTTTACACGAAAATAATGGCTTGCTACGCGCCTGACGATTAGTCGGGTTTTGTGGCCAATCCGGATCCCCTGATCTCCGACTCATCTCAAATACCATCCCGATATAGCAACAGATTATCTTTATCCCCGCATCGTAAGTTTTGCAGGAGGAGGTATTATTTTGGAGCAGAACATAAAAACGTGCAATGCTTCTTCACCAAACTTGGTACATAGATAGGTCTGGTGGTGAACTGGTGCCTTTTGATAGTTTTTGGATTTCTGAATAAAAATAATGTTTGCATTTCCATGACAACAACTTTTACTTCGACTGAATTGGTGGTAGTGCTCCTTCCCGGAGCAGAACCTTAAAACCTATCAATACTCTCCTTCCACTTCCTTGTGGGTATTCAAGAACCAAATGACATAAATCAACAGTACCACTCTATTTCCAGTATCAACATTACTTACACTGGTACATCAAACCATGGAAGTACTCAGGCAGCCTGTTGTTGATACAAGCATGCTAGTACAGGTATATGGATAGTTTACATCTGTATGTTTTCGTTAGATCAGTTTAGAAGAACAATGTTTATGTTTTACAGACGTGTATCTATGTCTACATGATGACAATATTTGCCATAGCTAGTTGACATATTAATGAAGAGTATGTTACGATCGCGGGGATATTGACTAGACTTTGTCTTCTTTAGTTCTTCATTTGGGGAGATTTTATGCAAAACAAAGTAATTCATTGAAAAGCCCCTCGGTTCAAGCGCAAAAGTAAATTCAATGCCATCATATCACTCGTTGCCTATTTTGTCGAGCTTTATAATGACGCGACGTAGGGAATTAAATATGATCTAATTGAACATTGTATTAAGTAGCACATGTAAAGCTAAATACAATGGCTGCAAGTAAAGTATTAGAGTTATTCGATCCACCTGGTATACTCAGTGTGATAACTTTATTAACTGAAAGAAATATATGCTCACAAAACTGTGACCAAAATGTTCTTGCGTTACATTCACAAAACATTAAATCTGACTGCTCTGAAAACGGTAAGGACCCGTAGAAGATCTGGATTAGAATTGATCTTCAGTAACGGATGCTTGTCGTATGAGGAGACTGACGGGATCAGGGTGGTCAGGCTCGCTGAGACTTGGTTCACACATCATCATCGTATCCCAGTTGTGTATATCGATGCTCATGCTGTTGATCACTGGATTGTCTGGTCCAGACTCGATTATTTTCACAGACCGCCGCCAAATAACTAGAATATTGCAGAGTGCGGCGTAAAACTAAACTCACTCACTGAAACGGTAAAACATAACCTTAACGTATCAGAGTTTGACACTTTGGTTAATGCGAATCAAGAACGCAGCGAACACATCTGGAAAACCCAAAGTATTTTGACTTGTTCTCACATGCTGACAGTAGTAGTCTCTGTGATTATAGGTGATTATGTGAGCTATCGTGAAGCAATGACCTTCAATGTTATGTAACACAAAAGATTATGATCAACAAAACTAACATTTAAATAGTTTTGTTCAGTTTGTTGTTAACGCCGCATTCAGCAATTCTTCCAACCAGATGACGGGAGGTCTGTAAATAACAATTGACATCACATTTAAATAGTAAATATATGACAACATATTGCCATTATAATTTCGCCTATTCTGAGTGTCAGCATGATTATGTTAATAATTACAAAACTATGTTATAATGCACATGATAAACAGTGCAATTGCTATACACAATTATCGTGTTCGCACTGGTCTTGGCAGCTGCAGGGAAACATTTGGCTGTACACCTTTACTTCTACTACACAACTCCTGGCCGTGTAATTAACTGGGCATTCCTCATGAATCTGTAGAACGCATCCTGGGGAGTGGACGACATGAACTGCTTCCCGACAGCGACGACAGCGATGATGATCCTGTGGAACTCACTGCACCTCCAGTGCAACAAAGTAAGTTTGAATATAGCGTTAGCATGGGTTTTACACTCTTTATTTCGCCAGTTTTCACCTTTCGTTACCTTCAAAAAGGAAGGTTTATGTACAAATTCAGGTATTTTTGTTTGTCGTCATCAACACTTACTAAATGTAGTATATGGTATCGTATCACTGAAAAGTGGACCTTTGAATTCAGTAATACCACGGAAAATTTTCCACAAGCTGTGCCTCAGCGCTTCAAGACCGTCTTAAGCGTATGTAGTGCCATAGAGCGACAATCATCTCTTGGAGCTAGGGTCGCGTTGTGTAAAGGAGCCTTGTTCCTAAAAATGTCATTAAGAGATAACAAAAGCCTCTTATTTTCACAGGCTTAATAATAATAAAAAACATTAAGGTAGTGAAGGGAGTGCATATATATATATAAAATGAAGTAGTTATCTTTTAAAGTAGAGCAGGGAAGCCTGTTTATAAAGCAGATCGAAAGTGAGTGGAGTGAGTAAGTTTAGTTTTTACGCCGCTTTGTAGCAATATTCCAGCAATATCACGGCAGGGGACACCAGAAATGGGCTTCAGAAATTGTGCCCATTTGGGGAATCACCGAACCCGGACTTCGGCGTGACGAGCGAAAAACTTTAAACCAGGGAAGGCCCACCGCCACCGCCCCACAGATCGAAAGTAGATCAGGTCCCAGGACGCCTCTCTGTAACAACATATATCTTATTCTTATTTAGTACTCCAACTTCTATGTGCCTCTCAAAGAACTTAGTGGAGTGAATGTTGTTGTTCTGCGCAGTACGGAATTTGCTGATTCCTGCAGGAGCTGAGGAGGTTAGCGAATGTTGAAGAGCAGTTGTCGAATGCTGAAAAGGGTGAGTGGGCGAATAGTGTTTTTAGGCTGTAATTAATTACTCAGTGCTGCTGTTAGGAGCGAGCGAGCGAGTGAATGTCTGGACATATCTAGAGTAATAAGTGAGCTGGGTATACGGTAGTTTTTGAATTGCGTTTTGTGATGCGTTACATATAATATGACTGGAATATTGTTGAGTCTGGCTTCTATACAATAAAATGTTATATATATTTCAATAGTGGTATTCCAATATTTAGAGATATTGCACAAAATGTAAGCAGACGCCTTCGCTCACAAAATAAAACCCTGGTAATTGTTCCAAAAGTAAGAACATCACAATATGGCAAAAGGACTTTTTACTAACAAATACACAGCATCAATCCTAAGGAACAGTCTGCCACAATACCTGAAGAGACTGTACAGACTTGACACTTTCTAGGTCACAAATCTTAAGACCTATATCTTCTCTCAAAGCCTTCTCACTGTGCGCTGTAGAGCATGCAAACAGTCATGGATATATGCGCATTATAAGTTTTATATTATTATTATAATTATATATACGCCGTGGTGTTACAATGTGAAACCTTATCCACACAGGGCAGTTACTGGGGCGCCACTACCACCGACCCGGAGCCGAACCGGACCAGATCTTCACCGTCCAGGTGTACGACATCAGGAACACCAGCCAGATCGTCCCGGCAAAGTACGAGTCTTTCCCCCGTCGACAGGAGCTCCTGTTGCAGCACATCACACACCCAGGCCATAGCAGACAGGTATGGAGTACCACTGGGCTCCGTCTACACTGACCGGAAGGACAAAGAGGCTGTGATTTATAACGACCTTGACCTTCATGTTGTGTTCATTGATGTCAGATCTCAGAACTACCGGGCTCCTTCATCCAACTACACAGAACAAGGCTGTGTGGGCATTGATCCCAAAAAGGAGCGTTGCCTTTTGAAGGAACTGATCTGTCAAAGTGAAAATTTTCAAATTGGGTAGAAACGTTGGTTTGTTTTATAGGAAAATGCGTCTAGATGACGACGCAGCTATTGGGGCTTGTGTGAAGTTTGGGGATCATTTGCTTTGTGTTGATGAAGTAAAATTACAGGTTTCTTGCTTCCATCGTCCGAGACGGAAAATTGAGAATCAATACAGACTGGACTGTCTAAATACTTTAAATGTAAGGGAGATGAAGAACAGATTCAGGGACACATTCCAGGAGGACTTTCCCGGACTTCAAAATGGAGCTGAGGACATCTGGTTCACACAGGGTAAGAATGTCCTAAAAGACGAGGACTTCCTGTTCATCACAACTTCACTTCGGCAAGGGCTGCATGATAGGGGGAGGATGATGGTTCACGTAAAGCCACCAATGTGTTTCCCCGTTGTGATCAAATTCCTTGGTTCGAACTCAAAAGAGGCTGTCTGCCATGTCCTGATTGTGCCTCCTAATATAACATCCTCCCAGTTTAGGTCCGAGGCTTCCGTTCTGGTTGAACATCCTCCAAACGCTCTTCGTTTGCTCATGAACAATAAAAAACTAAGAAAGCCAGCGATGATAGAAGAAAATGGGTTTGTTCCAAATTGCACTGTAAGTGTTAGAGTTGCGGAGAAAATTGTTGTTAACATATGCGTAAATATGGGCATGTCAAGTCTTCAGAACGTACAGGTGAACTTGTACAAACTTGACACAGTCTCTGATCTGAAGAGGGCTTGTCTCAAGGGCAAACACATGTTGATCCGGCAGATCTCCAGATGTTCTTTGAGGACAAGGAAGTCATCAATGACAGACAGTTGATGGACTATCGCATAAGAGATGGCGACACACTGTTTGCTGTGCACTTCAAGGATTCCATCCATCTCATGATTCGCCAACCTGGTATGCCGCCATCTTGTTTGACTGTGGAGAAGTTCAGACAGTGCAAAGTTAAAAAAGTTAAGATGTTTCTTGCACAGGTCCTGCAGACAAACAGCGAGAATTTGAATATCATTCACAGGGGAAAATGCTTAATTGAGGACATTAGCCTTGCGGACGCTGGGTTGTGTTCGGGGGACACGCTGTTGATTCCAAGAGTCATCAAAGACGATTACAGGGTAGAGGGGATGAAAAGAGTCTTCGTTTCAACGTGTGATGGAACAGTCCGAGTCACGATGGCAGTCCTCAAAGGAGGCATAACGTTTTATGGTAAGAGAAATACTGAACTGAAATACGATAAGAAACGTTTTGGGAACACTGAACATTTTAATAGTTGCCTCATCAACTTTATACCGGAATTCTCACGGTTATACCGAAGTTCCGAGGAACATAATGATATAAGCATGGTGTGTTTTATGTGTGTGCATATACACACGCACACACACACATGGAACATAATCAATATATTATCAATTTATATACACACACCTAATTTTACGCGACACTTATACAAGAGGAGTGCTTTTCTGCCCTGTATCACAACCGTATTGTAAAGGTAATAACTTCTTCTAATTCAACTTTTAAACTTGATATTTCAGCACCTGAGAGCATCCCACTCCCCGATATTGAAGAGTTATCTACCTTGAGATGCAACAGGAACTGGTCACAAGGACTGATGCTAGGATCCATAGAGTTGTCACGGTCATCACCAAGAGGGTCTTCCTCCAGCAGCCAGTCCTTACATCAGAGTTTCAGGACACTCTTTGATGCTTCAACCGAGTCTGAATCAAGTCTCACCGAGTCATTACGTTGCAAACAAAACCACAGTAGTCCTGACACGTCAAAGTCCACAATGATCTTGAATCGTCCTTCCCTGAAACTCATCCTCCCTGGCCAACGTTCAGAACCTGACAGCAGAGCCATAAAACGGTTCACCTTGTGTAAAGAACTTGCACAGGAAGGGGATAAGGTCATGTTCCGCGAGTCGTCCTTGTACGAGGAAGATGTGTCTCAAGGTGGCTCCCAAAAACGATTCCCTTCTTCGGAGCAAATGGTCGACCCCACGTCCCCAGACGTGTCCGACGCTGCTTCTCCCAAGGTGTTCCGATCGCCGAGTCTTCTGTTTCCGCCACAAGGTATGCCACAGTACCAATCCCTATATAATGTATGTATATTACTCAAAAGTAGGTATGAAATGAATTTGTCATAACTAGAGTTGGTCAGTTGTGCCATGATAAGAATTATTGTCATGTGAAAAGATCAGTGTTTCATTAAACTTCTTTTGGGCAGTACATATACTATATGACGACTGCCACTTTGACGGTGTAACCAATATTACACAGTAGTCGGATGGAGACTGTTGTAATTGTTAAACCAATATTTCAGTTGTTGTCTGAGATTCCCATATTTCCCAAATCATGTCTACATCAAACACAGTGCCAAACACAACCAGATTCAGGAATTATCAGAATCTAGATTACCAGATTCAGGTTTAAAGAGCTATCTCGTTGAAATACTACACCACCATTTCAACATGACTACCCCGGTCAGACTCTGTCGTAGCCCAGTTAGCAGGAAATATGCCTAGATATGAGCGCCATATAAGCGGACTATCACTATTACTATTACTAAACAGACTCGGGGCCGACCACTCCTTCTTTCTTTGGCTTAATTTGTTTTATTCGCAGGAAAGGGAAATAACAAATTCCACCTTTAAACGTCTTTCGTTTATTCATCTTTATTTATCATGAATGCCTGCATGTCGTTTGTTTGTTTCTTTGTTGTTTTACACCGCACTCAGCAGTATTCCAGCTATATGGCGGCGGTCTGTAAATAATCGAGTCTGGCATGAGCATCGATCTACACAATTGAGATAGGATGACATGTGTCAACCAAGTCATCGAACCTGACCACCCGATCCCATTTGTCGCCTCTAGCCGATAGAACAATGTAGGTAAGGGAGGTCGGTAATGATCCATTGGTTGCTGAAGATCAATTCTAACCCGGATTGGGTGAGCTGCATGTCGATACTTTGAACAATAACCGATTATCTCACCTTCCCTTCCAGCTATACAAAACTCTATTCTAGAAGGCGTCTCTTGAACTGGGTCATTCCTGGAAGAGGGTAGCACTGATACTCGGCCTGACTCACTCAGACCTGGAAAACCTGGAATACCGTCACCATGGCAACCTTCATGAGCAGGCCCTACAGGCACTTATGCTATGGAAAAAACGTGAATCAAAGAAGGCGACCATAACCAAACTGAAAGAAGCCTTGAAAGAATGTGGTCTAACGCTAGTTGCAGACGCCATCAACGAAAACATCAAATATGAAACAACATGAATTTTGTAAACAAGACAGTATCCCTTCCAGGATTCATTCTATGGGAATGCCCTCCATAAAATTGTGATCGAAATACAGCCCCTACACCCCAGGTTAAACATGCACACACTCACATTGCTTCAACTCTTCAATGAATCAGTCAGCACTCGATTCTCATTCTCACCTCCCTTCAGGAACAAACGTAGTGCTACTGAGTGAGTGAGTGAGGGCATGAGTGCATGCGTTCGTGTGGTTTTAGCATATTATTTCGGTTATACCGTGTCGTTACATTAATGTGGAAGAAAGTTCTGAAGTCTTAGAGGCCGTTTAGCACTGTGGGATCACAATCGGGATATGGACACTACAAAGGGGAGGTAACTCTCAATTTTCAACAGTATGGACAACTGGGCCATTTAAGTTGTTTTAAACAATAGTCTTGGTGACCTTGGCCAGGAGAGTTGAGATGGTGAGTCGAGAGGCCTTCGAGAGGCTAAAGTGGCGTCATCATTCCCATACTATGTATGTATGAAGAGGATACAAATACCCGGGACTCACACTATCATTCCCACAGGCTTTAACCACTAGGCTTCCCCACCGCCCCCATACTATGTTTCCTGCTGTTATATGTGGTGTGTGGAGTCAGTTGGTTTATCAGTTGAAAGATGACAAAGATGGATGATCAACTTCTTTATTTCCACAATAGCGACGTTTCCGTTTTCAAGTAAGTGAGTTTAGTTTTACGCCGCACTCAGCAATATTCCAGCTATATGGCGGCGGTCCGTAAATAATCCAGTCTGGACCAGACAATCCAGTAATCAACAGCATGAGCTTCGATCTGCGCAACTGGGAACCGATGACATGTCAACCAAGTCAGCGAGCCTGACAACCCAATCACGTTAGTCGCCTCTTACAAGCATGGGTTTCTGAAGATGAATATTCTAACCCGGACCTTCACGGGTATTTACGTTTTCAAGCATTGACAGCCTTGACAGCCTTGACACCCCTCTCAACACAAACCTCTCCATTCATTCAGCTCATTTCTAACTCCATCACCTCCACCTACTTCACCAGGGGGTGATGACCTCTATGAACAAATCCATGGTTTACCTACGGGTACCCCTGTTTTTGATCGTCCATAAAGTCTTGTCATCTCTATACCACCAACTTCTAGAATGCCACTCAAACAAATTATATCAGTTGAAAGTTCTCATGGTGCTGAAATCGGGGATCATAATGGGACGGGGGTACACAAGCAGATCCTGCCAGCCAAGGGACGTAACTCTGCACAGCACCTATAACTTCCTCTACGAAACCGTAAGAATATTTAAGAAGGGTATGATGCTTTATGGATAACAACTTCTCTATTATATTGTGATGGACGTTTGGGTACAGATTCTTATACTGTTGTCAAGCAACAGTGTTATTACCCATTAAGTTTTATACCTTTCTTATTCATCAACTTCTAAAATGCCAATCAAACAGGTAAGAATATTTATTAATATACTCTTCAAATATATTTTCACTTACAAAGGTATTTTGAGTGAGTAAATAATGCAAACTTTAAGTACAAAGCACATATGTAAGTTTTCATGTTACATTATAAATAAAACTTTACTCACCAGAGCAGTGTACAAACCAAATTTCCTTGGCGTATCTGCCAGTTTTGCTTGTGAATTCTCCTTGATGGATGCTAATAAATTGGAAATATATTTGCCTATACCACGCATCTGTCACTCTCACATATACCAAACATTCCCATTGCCATGTGCTGGGTACCAGGTAGTGGAGCTGGCAGGTGGTTTTAGCAAGGACTCATCTGACATGAGAACCTGTACAATTCCCCACAAGGATAGTGAGTCAACCTTACCTACTTGTTGGCCAGAACTGGGGTTCACACTTCATCAAACCCATGTTGGGAATCGAACCTGGGTCTTTGGAAAATACATGTACGAAATAAACCCTATTACAACTAGGGCTACCTCCTCACCTCAAAATTTGGAAAATACATTTACAAAATGCTTATTTTGTCTCATAACATGAACTTATTTTGTCTCTGAATGAACAGAGTAACATACAAACAGCAACACAAAAGGTGTTCCTTTTAATACATATGACATAATTTGTTAAAATATAATGTCTTTATTCCAAGTGCTTTCATCAAGGATCAAGGATCCTCCATAAACAAAACAAAGGATAACAAATCAATACAATTCATAAATATACTGATGCGTAAAAATAAGAGTAATGTCTATTGGAGTGTTTCAGTCAAATTGCTGTATGACCATTTAGGTGGGAGTACACCACCAGTGTGTAGCAGTTTTCTTACTTAATTAACAGGTTATTTACTGAAAAAACTAACATAAATCAGACACTTGGGTCAATTACTTTTTGAATCTTTTTTTTAACTTTGTTTCTCAAAGGCAATAACATTATACTGTAAACAATGTCAAACTTATCGCTTTCAAGATCAGGTGGTACCTTTGTTGTGCCTTTTAGTACAGAATCATAACATGGGGTGGTACAACGATAGTGCCTCTGTTGAAGGTCTCTTGTGTCTGTTACTACATATCTAACTATGTAGCTCTTAAAAATGTTTGAACGGAAAGGGCTTCTCCTAGCCAAACAATCTGCCCATCGATGCATTAGATAACTACTTGTAGAAATACATAAGTTTGCCATTAAATCGCTTGAAACAGGAATTCAGTTATTGTGAAATGCACATCTAAGCAGCTGACATTATCATGGCATATTTAAGCTATTCAAACACAATATCAGAGGATTCTGTAATGCCCAGGGGAAATAACTCTGCACAGCAAAATGGGGCTCCATCAGACCACCATCAAGAAGCATGACAAGTGCCAATCCCAGAGTGTCTTATTAACACAACCAAGAATAATGAGTAGGTGCTGTGTAACAGCCTTCACCTTGTTAAGTTAGGGTTAGTTTAGCAACATTTACAATTACTTTGACCAGGTGAAATAATGTAACTGTCAAAGTAAAATCATTTTTGAAATTGTCAAAAGGCATAAGGCATACTATCACATCTCTGGTTCTACCTACAGTATATCACAGTCAAGACACGGTCAGTATCAGGTGTTGATATCAACCTTTCCCAGCATCAAACATGATATCATTTGGATATGTCACATCCATTCAAAGTCTGAGAGATGGTGATGTAACCATGGTAACAAGCATTAGTTCAGTACTGCTTCATAGATCCAGGCCCTTCATGCAGGGTCTGTGAGATGGTGATGTAACCATGGTAACAAGCATTACTTTAGTAGTGCTTCATGGATCCAGGCCCTTCCTGCAAAGTCTGAGAGATGGTGATGTAACCATGGTAACAAGTACTAGTTTAGTTGTGCTTCATAGATCCAAGCCCTTCCTGCAAGGTCTGAGAGATGGTGATGTAACCATGCAGCATTATTTCAGGTCTGAGAGATGGTGATGTAACCATGGTAACAAGCATTAGTTCAGTAGTGCTTCATATATCCAGGCCCTTCCTGCAAAGTCTGAGAGATGGTGATGTAACCATGGTAACAAGTACTAGTTTAGTTGTGCTTCATAGATCCAAGCCCTTCCTGCAAGGTCTGAGAGATGGTGATGTAACCATGGTAACAAGCATTATTTCAGTTGTGCTTCATAGATCCAGGCCCTTCAGCAAAGGTCTGAGAGATTGTGATGTAACCATGGTAACAAGCATTAGTTCAGTAGTGCTTCATAGATCCAGGCCCTTCCTGCAAGGTCTCAGAGATGGTGATGTAACCATAGTAGCAAGCATTAGTTTAGTCGTGCCTCATAGATCCAGGCCTTTCATGCTGTGTCTGACAGATGGTGATGTAACCATGGTAACAAGCATTAGTTCAGTAGTGCTTCAAAAGATACAGGCCCATCATGCAGGGCCTGAGAGATGGTGATGTAACTATGGTCACAGTGGATTAGTGGTGCTCGATATATCTAGGCCCATTAAAGAGGGTCTCAGAGATGTATAACCATGGAAACAAAACCTCAGTTTAGCTGTGCCACATAGATCCTGCCCATCATGCAGATATGGTGAGATAACCATGGCAATTATGGATCAGCAGTGGTACATACATCCAAGCCCATCATGCCAAGTCTCAGATGGCAATGTAACCATGGCAACAAGCAGGATGTGGGTTGCCTGAAATCTACAGGTCATGGTCGATTCTTGTAGAATTCTTCATATTGCTTTTCCCTTCTTGCAAATGTTTCAGCCACCATCAAAGGGAACACAAGACTGGCCTCACCGCACACCTGGGGAATAAACAACATTATTCTATATCACTCTTAGTGGGACCACTACCAATGCTTGTCGCATAAATGTTGACTAACAGGATCAGGTGGTCAGGCTCTCTTACTTGGTTGGTACGCCATTGCATCCCAATTGCATAGATGAATGCTCATGCTGTTGATCACTGGATTGTCTGGTCCATATTGCTAATTTACAGACCACCACCATATAGCTGGAATATTGCTGAGTGCGGCAATAAACAACAAGCTACCTATGTAACGGAAGTAGTTAACCTCACCTTGACAGGGTTGGCTGTCTTCCTGATCTTGCCCCACGATAGCCTCATCAGGGCTGGCTCCAGAATCACTTCCATCGAACTCAGATGCTGTGTTGAGGTACACAGAGAAATCAGCACCATTACGCTTGAAATCATTACAGAAATATCTCAAGCATTCTGGTCAAATGTTGATTATGAGGTCAAATGAAATTTCATTATGTGAGGTGAAATTGGGTTTAACGATGGCGGCT